GAGGAGGGGGAGGAAATAAAGGGAGGGGAAGGGAAAGGGGGCCCTGAAAAGGAAGGAAGGGGGCTGCTTCCTCCTGGTGGCTTTCCGGAGGGAAGGAAATGAGAAGGAAGGGACAAGAGACTGGAGGTTAGGAAGAGGAAGAAAGGGAAGGGGGGGGGAAGCAGGAAATAATTATCCTTGCCCAGGAGGGGAAGCAAGACTGGAAGGATCAATCAATAAAGGGAGGGGAAGGGAAAGGGGGCCCTGAAAAGGAAGGAAGGGGGCTGCTTCCTCCTGGTGGCTTTCCGGAGGGAAGGAAATGAGAAGGAAGGGACAAGAGACTGGAGGTTAGGAAGAGGAAGAAAGGGAAGGGGGGGGGAAGCAGGAAATAATTATCCTTGCCCAGGAGGGGAAGCAAGACTGGAAGGATCAATCTGCCTGTTTCATCCCTTCCCCCAGCTGGGGCTTTCTGCATGTGCTCAACTACAGGTCCCATCAGCCTCCCTCCCACCCACCCTCTGGCAGGGAGCAGAGAGCCAAGGCCAACCCATGAAAGAGACAGGCCCGGTGACATATCCACATGCCCCTCCCGAAAAATACTCCCCCCCAAAAAATGGTAATATCATGGGATCTAAACAAAGGGACTCCAGGTCCCATCGTCCTCAAAGGGTGGGGGTGCTCATTCATTGCGGGCCAGAACATAGCAGTGGTTGGGTGGCTCCTGAGAAGGGGTCGATGGATCCACTCTGGGATTTGCTCTGAACATTACTGAAGGTTTCAGAGGGCCTGAGCCAAGCTCTGGTGGTGGTGGAGCTGCTCCAGCGTTCCCTGGGACCTTTCCAAAGGCGGCCTCAGATTCAGCACCTTGGGGAGCATCCGTCAAGTTCGGCATGAAACCCAAAGCGGATACCCAGTCGGAGCCAGCTGCCTCCGTTCTGACACGATCGCCTCCTTGGCGTCCAATTGCACCCAGTGCAACCCCAAAATTTATGGGCCAAACGATGGGGTTCCCCCCATCATCCCCTGATCTTGCATCTCCTCTCCAGAACAATGATTGGATGGAGGAGGGGGGGAGTATTAGTGTCACAGCCCATAATACTCAGGTCCTGCGATAGAGACCAGTCTCATTTGAAACACAAATGCGGAGGAGTCTTTCGGAATCTGGAAGGGGGGGTGAGGAGAAAAGAAGATTAGGCTCAGGGCTGATCACATGATAAAAATTTTTTGTGGGAAAACCATCCGCTTTCAGGATAGTGTACAGCGTACATTTTCCTTTGCAGGAGTGAGTGTGGGAGAAACAACAAACCCTCCCGAGGCAGGCTGCTCCTTCTTCTCAGCTCTAAATCCCCATTTTACCAACAGGAAAACTGAGAAACAGCCAAACACACCCATCCTGCCAATTTAGGATGATTTTCACATTTCGCCCACCCCCACCCCCGGACAAATCTTTAAGGAAAAGAAAGCCATGCTATTATTAAGCAGGGCTTGGCAGCTTTCCAGAGGCTTTGGGACTACAGTTCCCAGCATTCTTCCCTCACAACTTGTGCTGGGCATTGTAGTCTTGTTACCTCTAAATATCTCACCCCTTTGGGGAAGAAAAATACGCATAGTTGGGTGATCACTGCTGCCACCGAGAAGCTCTGGATTCAAATCCTCCCGCTGAGCAATGAGAGGCTCTGGATTCAAATCCTCCCGCTCAGCAATGAAGCTTGTGGGTTGACCTTGAGTCAGCTCCTGCACTCTTGGGATGATCTACCTTATAAGACTGTTGTTCAGGTATAAGAGGGGAGAACTAGGCATCCCCCCTTAGCAGCTACGTGGGGCAAACCGAACGAAACATTCTTTCAGGTCTTGAAAAACGGGAGAACGGGATGCAATGGCGCCCCCAATTCTCCGGCTGCTTCTTGGGACAGCTTGGACCCTCAGGAAATCCCTCTAACATTTCAATTGCAGTTTGGATACGAGATCCTACCCTTTGCTAGGACCAGCTTGGCCTAGCTTCCTGTTCAAAAAGGCTCCCAGCAGGCACTGGGGCAGGAAGTGGACACTTGGGCGAGCTTGGCCTCAAAGCCTTCCAGCTCAGGCCTTGTTGCCCAGGCATGCCACACTGAGGGGTCTGTAAGGTGTAAGTCGGGGGGGGGGAGAACTCCCAGAATAGGGAATTATGGGCTATGCAGTCCAAGCAATTTTAAAAAAAACATTCCTGATGGTGTCTGCCATTTTAACGTCCCACAATGCCCCTGGACTAATATAGCAAAGCTATATCAGATGTTACTAGTTAAATACATGATTCACAAAACCTGGAAATGTTGGCAGACGGGGTTGGTAATACAATTCCCATCATTGTAGGAAGTTGCGGATTCTGGGCACTGTAGTGGAACACAGGATGAGTTCCAGCCTCTTGTTATGCATGCATGCATGTGGATGTACTTGTATATATAATTTCGCATTCTCTTCTAGCCGTTTCCCCCATAGAAGTAACTATGGTTTTGTGTTTGATCGGTCACTTTCCCACCACCAAAGTTAGGGTGTCCAACCTGGTTAAATATCATTTAGTCAATTTATTTCTTAAAAAGCAAACCAACCATTCTGGTGATTTAGAGGGGAACCTATTCTGAATCATAGGGTCAAATATATTCTAAAAGGAACCCATTTCATTATTTCTAGGCATTCAATTTGTAGTTGTGATCATACCAGTAATTCTTTACATTGCGTATTGATTTCGTCCTTACCGAAGGTTTTGTAACACGGAAGGGAATCTTCTCTCCGATGCCCGCTCACGGCCGGTTCTGACATTGCACCTTGGAAATCTCTCTCTCTCTCTCATGGCAATCGTCCAAATTTTATACCATTAACTGAAATTTGTATTTTACTTTCCAAGGCTATTATTTATCATGCTGCTGTTCACATATTTGAAAGTAATTCTTTTGTAATCTGTTTCTATTGCTGCTTATCAAGTCCTGATGCGTCATCTTAGCCAAAAAAGGTTTTGTTAAATAAGAATATTTTTTTACAGATATTTGGGGAGAATTTATAGATCAAGATTAAAAGGAAAATACGAGATTTGTATGGGGCAGAAAACTGACTTATCTTCAAAGGGGCACAGGATGTGACAACACATTTTATTGCTCGTTATGCATGTTAGGTTGTTCGTGAATGACTTTTGTACTGTATATAGTTTTGTTTGTTATCTCTTTGGTCCTTTTTTGTCTTGCAATTTTTCAAATAAATATATTTAAAAAGGAAATAGTTCTAACAGTGCAAAATAAAAACCGAAACAAGACTACCTCTATTTCTTTACCTTTTCTCCCCCACCTTTAACGTAAAAGGAAGCGAAAATATAAGGAAGAAACAGAAATTTGTTTTCAACTTTTATGCCCTTTCAAGGCACCAATCAATCAATCAATCATGCACTCGACTGATCAATCTTTGTTGATCTGGCCCAACCGCACTCTTAACGCGCATACATTTTCATATATTTCTACATTAAGCACTATTCCGCCGGTGACTCTTTCCTGTTCCAACCTACTGGGTTCTGTTCCTTGGCCACTAGCAACTGGGCAATGACGTCACCAACCAGCGACGGGGCACCCCGTTGGTTCTGGGGTGCGTTCCCGATGGCCAGCTGCGGCCGATGGGAGTTGTAGTAGAAAACGCTACAGAAAGAAATGCGACCATCTGCCTACGTAGCTACTAGGAAACGGAGCTGTGGGGGTTCTCTCTCAACTCCTCCCGTCATGTTCCAACATTCCGAGTCCAGCCAAATGGGAAAAGAAGCAAACGTGTGATTTAAACACAACCACAACGCACAAATTCTGTCCTGCAGCCTCATTTGACCGAGGGGGGGGACTAAAAACCTCCCTCCTTTTCAGGCCCTTCCAACAGCCACCTTTTTGTTCCTTTTGCTAAAGAACGAGAGGGCCATCTGGGCAATGACGGAACTTCCCTGTTCAGGGGCAGTCTACCTCAGCTGGGCAAACTTATGCATGACTCCTTACAGTGGCCACTTGAGTGTATGTCTGTGTTGTATACAGCAACCCACCTCATCAGGATAGGTCCCAGCGCCAATTCGGCCGCATTTCCATTTTGATGGATGATCTGCGGATTGAAGTCTGCCCCCCTCCCCGAAAGGGAGGGGGCAGAAATATTTAAATTAATACCTAAATTCGCCGCAAAGCCCTTCCGGAGCTGGCTGAAATGTGCCGGAATATTAGAAGCTGACACACAGAGAGAAGGGGAGGTGGTTTAACCATCAATTTGCATCTTTCGTGAACTGGGTTTAAGCCGCAAGCCGCAGCAAACAGGGAAGGTGTGGGGGGGAACCAAATTAAAATTACTTTTAAGCCCTCCTGTGAATAGCACACCCTCCCCTGCAAAGAGTGAGGCTTTCAAACGGCTAATTGACATTTCCCATTAAGGAGCCACATTTTAATTTTAGACCAAGAACGATGACACACATTTCTGGTCTTTCAGCCGCTTTGCCTCCAGATGCCAGGCAAAGGAGACAGGGCTTGGAATCCCATGGTCCCCTGGCCTCCCTGGCTGGGGATGGTGGGAGGTGGAGTCTCACCACCACTAGAAAGCCACCTGAACCCATTTTGTGCCCAAGGCCTCCCCAGCCAGCTCTTCTCATGGAAGGCCTAGGGGGGGGGGGGGAGGGATTCGAACTCCCAACCTCAGACCGAGATGTCAAACGCCAAGCTCTCCAGCTAGACCGAAACAGAGGAAAGGATCCTAACCGAAAATGGGACGCAGGGGAGCAGAGCCGAGGGACCCCGGGACCCCATACCATTCCGGGTGCTGCCCCTCCTGGAGAGTCACAATGAGCCCGGAAAAGTTAGTGTTTTGGGATTTTTATTAACCATTTGCCCAAACTCCTTGCCGTGAAGAAGAGGATACGGGATCAGATCCAGATGGCAGGGAAATCTGGACCAGTCCACTGCATGCCCTTCAGGGCAAGTGTTTGCCCGCCCGCCTTTGCTCAAAACCCTCCGCGCCCCGACCAGCCTGGGGCTGGAGAGCTTTGAGTCCCCCCCAGCTGCCGACGGGGGCTTCTGGTCCATTCCTGGAAGAATTTGCCCCCCCCATGGACCCCAAAACAAAAAGGGGCGAGGAAGACCACGATGGCCTGCCGAAGGGCAGGACTGGAGCCATCCAGCGTCAGCACCACCGGATCCGAGTTCCACAACAGATGATGGGGAGGAAGCCCCAGGAAGGGGCTCCCAGTGTGGCCCGGATCAGCTGAAGAAGTAGGTGGAATCCTTCACTTTTTGTAAGTCGAAATCACCTGAAAGAGAGGAAGAAAAAGGGACACATGAATAGACAACAGGGAGCAGGGGGGAAGGACCTTAAAGCTGCTTTTTTTGTGGGGGGGCGTGGCCCTCAGGATGATGGGTTTTGTGTTCAGCTTTATTTTCCTTAAAGGGACGTGGTGGCGCTGTGGGCTAAACCGCAGAAGCCTCTGTGCTGCAGGGTCAGAAGACCAAGCAGTCATAAGATCGAATCCACGTGACGGAGTGAGCTCCCATTGCTTGTCCCAGCTCCCGCCAACCTAGCCGTTCGAAAGCATGTAAATGCGAGTAGATCAATAGGAACCACTTCGGTGGGAAGGTAACAGCGTTCCGTGTCTAAGTCGCACTGGCCATGTGACCACAGAAGATTGTCTTCGGACAAACGCTGGCTCTATGGCTTGGAAACGGGGATGAGCACCGCCCCCTAGAGTCGAACACGACTGGACAAAAATTGTCAAGGGGAACCTTTACCTTTACCTTATTTTGCTTAAAGGATTGCCGCTGTCTTAGGCGGGTAGAACTGGAAGGGACCCCTAAGGGTCATCCAGCCCAGCCCACGGGGGGATTCAAACTCCCAACCTCTGGCTCCGCAGCCAGAAACCTAAACGGGTGAGCTCTCTAGCCAGCCACATTGCAGATACCAAGGTATATTTTCACATGCACAAAGGAAAGAACAGAGTCTGGTGGGGCCTTAAACACTAGCAAGCTTCACTTGGCACAAGCTTTTCTAGGATCAGGTCCTCAGGCCGAGGACCCCAGGAAATGCCCCCACCCCCATCAACCTTGTTAGACTCCCGCCAGCAGGAAGAGGACCCGTAGTGGGTTTTCCTGCAGAAGACTTAACCCAGGAATGCCCGGGGTCGGGGGGGGCAAACAAATACTATAAGAAAAACTGTAAATAAATCTAATTCCCCCCTCCAATCTCATCCCCATGACACAACAGTTGAAAAATTCCCCACCCACGTTGAGAACGGCACCATCAAGAAGATTAAAAACAGCAGCAAAATCCCAGACCGCCGAGCACCTTTGATCCACCGCCTCCTTTTGGTTAAAAAAAGAACGGCACAAGCATTCTTGAGGAGCCTGGACAGTTTTAAAAATTGTGTTTTTTTTTTTAAAAAAACACACCACCCTCCACCTCCTTGGCTGAGAAAACAACCAGAGACAAAAGGACGCCAACCATCTTCCGGGCAACCTGCCACGGAACACCTCGGGAGGTCCATGTTCCACGGCTGGGAGGGGGGCACAGAGAGCAGCAAGAGAACATGGCAGGCATCCGGGCACGGGAGGAGGGATTTTGATGATCAAAGCGCTGACTCCCTGCCTTGCAATCTCCTGGAGGAGAAAGGGGTCAGGGGGGCGGCAAACCTCCCAGGGCCCACAAAGCCTCGGGGAGAGGGGGACCCTCCCCCCAAAAAAGCCCGAAGCCTGGCGATGGGTGGAAAGGGCATCCTAGCACCCCCGCCCCCAAGTGTGGTGGGTTCTTGTGCATCACTTAAATTTAAAAAATAAACACACCTGCACAAAACCCATCTTCGTTGGTGAATCAGATTAAAAATAGCTGGAGTCTCTCGTGGCAAGCCATGGGTTAAAAAAATTAATTGACCTGTTAGGAAAAAAAACGCTGGAACCGAACCAAAGCAGGCCAGGAAGGCCCGTCCCGTCGCTTTCCACCTCCCGCGCCAAAGAGGGACGCAGCCCCTTGTTCGGACGACTGACTTCTAAAGCTCTGTGGTCACCGGTGCTCACTGGCCCCATACAGAAGGGGATAAATCCAGGCAGCGACCGAGTCAGCCGACGGATATATACAAGTTGGGTCGACAGAAAAAAGGCCGGCAGGAGATGAGCGAACCAAAGAGGCTTAAGAGATAAGGCCGGAGCGCAGGCAAATGCCCGGGAAGGCAGCCGTTCTGGAAACCTCTCCCCCCCACCCCAGATTTTGGGACTGCTTTAGACCTGACTGCTGAAATCAGACCGACACAATTGTACAAGGTGCACTTTCCTGGCCACATCGGTTCCAAAAATTGCCCTTAAATGTAACCTTTGACAAGTAACTATGCGCTCCTCTTTGGTTTCAAGTCATCAGACATAAAAAGGACCACTGTAATTACTATGTAACTACAGGTTATCACCCCAAAGTAACTAGTTACAAGTAACTAAGTTACTTATAACTAGTTACATCAAAACACCAACCAAGCAAGGTGATTCGTTCTCCTACCTTTTGGAGGGATGTCAGACAGCCGTTCCATGAGTTTTTCACGTAGCCCACTGTTCTTATTCGTTGTGTTCATTCTGGGTGAGAAAATTGGGATTTAGGAGTTTGGTTTGGAGAAAGATGTTGGCAGTGAAGAATTAAGAATTTAAGTAAGAGCTAAAGAACTAAATCTTGCTGATCTCCCACAGTCATTCTCTTCGTTCAATCCTGTCATCAAGGATGGCTAATGTAACTGTGAAGCTGTGAGATGTCAGGCTTGCTAGTATAGAACACCAGGAAAATACAGAAAAGGCCTGTTTTTTGGGGGGGGGCGGGGGTGCCATCCCACATCAAATGCGGCTATTTCCAGCCGCCAGGCTGTAAAAAAAAAACATATTTGGTTCCTGAGGTCTAAAACAGCATCATGCATCCACCCCCTCCCCGATGCGGCTGCCACAAAGCTTGAAGGCAATGTTTCCCAGACTTGGCTGGTCCGTGGACTATGACTCCCTGAAGCCTTCACCACGGGCTGTGCTGGCCACGATTTCCGGACCAACTTTTAAGGGAATCCAAGTTTTTCCCACATTTTAAGAAATACAGCGAGACCACTGTATCTGCAGGATCGGTATCCATGTTTTCAGTGATCCACTGCCTGAAAATATTAAAACTAAAACCCCAGAAATACGCTTGTCCAAGGTATATGACCAGAACACTCTCTCTCTCTCTCTCTCTCTCTCTCTCTCTCTGTGTGTGTGTGTGTGTGTGTGTTGCTGCTGCTGCTGCTGCTTATGTTTAAAGCGAAAAGCTAAAGCAGGCTACACTCACAGAGATCCGGCACAATATTTCTTCAACATAAACTGAGAGAGGTCTTCCAGGATGGGCTGTTGATGCAGCCTCACAAACTGTTCACGACACACCTGGAACATCAAGGGTTGGAAAAAAATAAAATTAAAATAAATAAATGCAGCTTGTACCAGCCTTCTGCATCATCATGGGCTCAGTCGACAAGCCAGATTTGGGCTGAATCTCGGGAAAAACTTCCTAACTGCTAGAGCAGGACGACGGCGGGACCCCACGACCTTATTAGATTTATATACCGTCCATCTAGAACGTGTCTCCTCTGAGCGGTTTACATAGAACACATCTTTGTCCATTCCATTTTTTTAAAGGTCTCTGAATCAGGGCGAAAGAGCAACTCCACCTCCCCATATTTCGAAGGCCTTATTTGTCAAGGGCTGCAGAGACGGGAAACCCCCAACAGGGGCCTTGTTTCTGCAAACATCCCAAAATCCCGCGTCTGCATTTGGCAATGACCCCAGATTTCACCTCCTGCAGTGGATGCCGTTCTGTCCCTTCAGTGCTGCCTGGAGACTGTACTGGAACGGATGCAGTTGAATGGGTTGAGGCTGAACCCGGACAAGACGAAGATATCCAGGGTGGGTGGTCCTTCCATCAGCAGCGTGGGTGACTCCCTTTCTTTTGGGGGGTCAACCCTCACCGCAAAGAGCGAGGTTCGCAGCTTGGGGATACACCTGGACCCGGCGCTTACCATGGAAACCCAGGTAGCATCCATGGTCCGTTCTGCCTATTTTCATCTGTGGCGGATTGCCCAGCTGCGACCATATCTTGATGGGGGGGGGCTCACTACTCTTGTCCATGCGCTTGTAATCTCGAGATTAGACCATTGTAATGCACTCTACTTGGGGCTGCCTTTGGGATTGATGCGGAAACTTCAAATGGTGCAAAATGCGGCAGCCAGGCTCCTTAGTGGGGTGAGGAAATATCAGCATATCTCCCCCACCCTGGCTGCTTTGCATTGGTTGCCCATTCGTTTCTGCATTGATTTCAAAGTTTTAATGATGACGTATAAAGCCCTAAACGGTTTGGGACCTCGATACCTGGCAGATCACCTTCTCCCACCCAGGTCTACTCAAATCACCCAACAAAGCCAGCAGGGACGGCTGAGGGGCCTTATGCCGAGAGAGTCCCGGAAGGAAAGAAGAAGAAACCGGGCCTTCTCGGCAGTGGCCCCTCGGCTATGGAATACTCTCCCAACAGAAATCCGCCTGGCTCCCTCTCTGGGTGTTTTTAAAAGCCATTTAAAAACTTGGCTGTTTAGGCAGGCCTTCCCACCAGTCAATTAATTGTTTTGTTTCTTTAATTTCCCATCTTGAGAATGTATATATCTACTAGTTAGTTGGTTGTATTATTAGGTTTTAGTATATTATTCTATTGTATTTTATCATTTTTTGTAAGCCGCCCCCGAGGAGACTTTGTCTAGAGGGGTGGGGTATAAGTCTAAATAAAGTAAAAGTAAAGATTTTTGGCAAAGCACCAATGAATCTTGAAGACGGACGGTTGACGGCCAGACAGGTCTACGGAGCTGAAGCCGTTGGCTAAAATGAACAAACTGTCCGAGGCATCATCCCAAAACCACGGCCCGGGGGGGGGTTGCTTTTACAGGGTCCCGGCAGGACCTCCAGTTTCAGGGGAAGGAGCCAAGCAGCCTTACCCGATTCATGACGTCGACCATCGCCGCATGGGTCCAGTAACAATCGTGCACTGAGGCAAACGTCAGCCCCAGCCTAAGAGACCCGGAAGCAGAGGAAACAGCAAAATTAAAATAAATTCTGAGCCTCTTTCTTGGTTCCCAGATTTAACTTCCTTGAACCTGGTTTCATAAATGCAAAAATGCAACATCGCAGGGAGAGGCAAACCTTCTACAAACAAACCGCGAGCGCTCTCTCTGATTTGAATTTCGGGCATTCCACGATGGCTAGTCTGTTGTTTCCCTCCCCTGGACACCCGAGGGAGCCAAGGCTGGACTCCTCTCTTCCTCGGATCATAGAGGCCCGAGAAAGGGAGGAATCCAGAAAGAAAAGTGGCCGTTTCCCACCTGTTTGCCGGGGCAGCCTCAAACATTCGTAACTAAATCGTTATCTAGGAATGCGAGGAGGCGGCTCATGTTTTATGGCCTGCTTGGAACCAGAAGCCACGGCCCCCTCTCTGTGCAAAGCAGACCATTCTGAGTTAGCTTCTTCCCCGCTTCTTCTCTGCCTCCATCTGCCTTGCAACACCGCCTGGCCTCACGCAAAAGCCCACGGGCCTGCCTCTTGCCCTCCATACCTGTGGCAATGCAAAGCGGTGAGCATCATGTGCGTGGAATCCAGGGAATGGATGAAGTTGGGAGGGAAGGCGTTCTTCTGTTTCATCGTGTTGGGTTTCCTACAAAGAACGAGGAGTCAAGCTTTGGGGTTTAAGGGCCCCAAGTTGCTCTTTTGAGAGGGAAAGACACAATATTTCACTGTAGGAAAATCTTAATCAAGTACACAGCCTCCATGGCTTTTGCTTCTACGGGTTTGGGCTGCTGAGTCAAAAAATTCTGGGCTGTAACCATGACGGGGTTTGGACAGGCGCCTCTGACGGTTTGCGATAATGGCATGGCTGAACCTGCTAGCTGCTGTAATTAGACAGCTTTACGAGCTTATCAAGTGGTCTTAGTTCTTTAGGATTGGTACTTTCAGATGCCTTGTTTCCAGTGTTTTATGGACAATGGGAAGCAAGGTTCTACCCTTAAAGAAAGTCTGTAGATTTTTAAAAAATATACTGCAGAGGGAGCCCTTTGTCTGAATTCCAGATCCAGCCTAGCCCACTCCGGACTTTGCTTTACAGAATCTCTAATACAGCTGGAGCAAGGGAAGGAGGCCAACCTTTTAGTCAAAATGGACATGGAAACCAAGCAAGCTCTAAATACTATCAAATCCATTTCATGCACACCTTGTCAGGAAAGAAAAGGGGCCGCACTGGACAGGACAAGTCTCGCTCAACAACACGAACATCTCATGGAGATTAGTTCCAGGTAGCTGGGGGCCTCCAGACACATTTTGACTACAAAGCCCACCACCCCTGAACATCGGACAGGCCAGCTGCTGGGTGCTAGAATCCACCAAGGGACAGAAGGCCCTGTTCCTCCGGTGTAAGGAAAAAGCATTCCCCCAACAGACATACTCACTGGTTGGTGTCGCAGGAGAATTTCAGGTTGACAGCTTGCATTTTGGTCTTCAGCTGGTGGGGGAGAGAAAAAGGGGCAGGGGGAAACAGGCCAGGTTCAAAGATGTGGAAAGACTGGCCTGCTTAAGAGGGCCAGGAGCTGAAGAAAATATGAACGTGCCATGCAACCAGAAATGTGAAGCCTGTCTCTTTAAGAAACAAGCCCCACAGACAGCAAAGGCAAAGTGTTCATCCTAAATCTACCCCCCATAGACTGCTGGTGCGCTGCTCAAAGCTTTCCCCCAGGAAACTGGGAGAAGACACGTTCCACCAAAAAGCCAGTCTCTTATAAGAGTGGGTGGGTTTAGAAAGCCACCGTTTCTACCCCATAAGGGCTGTCCCATAACTTTCTGAAGCTTTAAAAGCCTGCAGGAATGGGGAGGAGGAAGAATAGCTATAATGAAAAGTGTGTCTGAAGAAAGTTTTCACTGTTTCTTTGTGTGAGAAATATAATATGAAAAGCTATCATCTGCCATAATTATCCGGTGGTTTGATCCGCCTTATTTATTTATTTACTTCAAATATTTTTATCTTGCCTTTCTCCTAAAAACGGGATTCCAGGTGGCTTGCATCATTTTAAAAAGGCCAGTACTTGAAGGCTAAAAGTAGTAAATTATTCAAATATTTTTAAAAATGAAATAAATGTATCAAAAGTATTAGATAAAAACAGAATAAAAGAGATTTAAAACATACATATGCACACTGTTTAATTTCTACGAATTGCATTTCTATTCCACATTTCAAGAATGACTACCAGTACATACATATAAAATATTTGGATCCAAGCAGCTGAAATAAGTGGAAAGGCTTTGCTTAATAGTTTTAATAATATTTCTCTTGTGTGAATCATTCTCAGCGGGATGTGTTTTCAGCGATTAACTGCCTCCTTCTGGGATCTAAAACAAACGCATCTGAATTGGTCCCCGTGAGCTTTAAAAATCATCCCTATGTATTTCTACAGGCACACAAACATGATGCATTTTTTCCACTTATGCATGATCTCCACTTGCTTTTAATAATGCAAAAAAGAGAAAAAGGATAACTGAACACACACATACGAAGGGTAGGTGTGCAATAATAATAACATAAATGTAAAAATCTATTCACCATTTTAGCTTCATTAAACATTATGCATGTTGACAGTCACACAAAGAAAGCTGAGAAAGCAAATTAATTTATTCTAAACCCAGTCTTATACTTCTTCAAATTGTAGTCATGGTTCCAGATGCATATTAAAAAAAAAAACCCAAACCTAAAATGATTTTTTAAAAACTCACTTTAAGAAAACTAAAATAATTCTTATAAAAGTTATTTTAGGAAAACAAAAATAACTCCTTCTTCCTTCTTTTTATATTATTCTTTCTTCTTTTATTTACTCCTTCCTTCCTTCCCGAAAATGCTCCAGAATGCTATAAACAATTAAGCTGGATTCAAAACATATCTTTAAAATAGTTTGGCCACACAGCTTTGCAAACTCTAAAACAACAATTAAAGGTGCACCAAAATACTGCAGTCGTAAGGTTATTTGTAATTTTTTAAATATTTTTGCAAAATGTGAAGTTACTGTTCTTTGAATTTTTATTTTATTTCTGCACAAAACACATCTCTCTCTCTCTCTCTCTCTCTGTATGTGTGTGTGTGTGTGTGTGTTTATACACAGAAAATCTACAGATTTGGGAAAGGGAGGTAGAGCTCGCTTGACTGCCACCCACCCACCTTCCCACCCTCCGAGGCAGGCCTGCTTGTTAATCACGGCATTAAAAAAAAAAAGAGGAAAAGTCACCTTGTATTTCCCCCCCCCCGCCCTGGCCTGGCCGCTTTCTGCTGACTCACGCTCTGCCACCTGCTGACTCATGCCTTAGGCTCTGCAAAACACTGACTCATGCACCTTGTTTTTTACTGACCCAGCAGAGCCCTGCACCCGGCTTTCATAGAGTGGCACCTTTTTCTCCCCCTCCCCCCGTTCCTGAAGGAGCACCTCGAACCCGGCCCCAACCTCTTCAAGAGAAGCAGAAACAGAAGACCACAATCCCCATTTCTAGCCTCCTCTTCTTTCTTTCTTTCTTTCCTTCCCAACCCCTCAATTTATCACCATCATCTTAGAACGGTAGAGTCGGAAGGGACCCCTAAGGATCATCCAATCCAGCCCCTAGTCAAGGAGACACACAGTGTGGGATTCGAACTCCCAGCCTCTGGCCTCCTCAGAAAGAGACCTCAATCCCTAAGCTATCCACCATCATGATCATCCTCTTAGAATGGCAGAGCTGGAAAGGCCCCCTAAGGATCATCCAGTCCAGGCCCTGTCCAGGCGGCCTTGTGGGGGATTCGAACTCCCAACCTTCAGATTCCACAGCCAGAGACCAAAACCTCTAAGCTATCTGGCATTCGGGAGCGGGATTCGGGTTGCTCTCAGGCCGCGTGCTGGGACTCTACCGACCCACCCCTTCCTTGTGGCCAGGAAAATTCAACAGCCCTCACGGATGTCCATTGTAAACACTATTGCAAGGGGAGGGGGTTTCCACCTTTTTAACCTTCGGTGAAACCTGTTGCTCTCGTCCTAACGAGGACAAGTCATAAAGGTCAGGAACTGGTCCATGAACGAGAGAAAATTATTAGGATAAACAAGAATGATTGCAATTTTGCAGCAGAGCAGTCTGGATTGCCTGCACACCCCCCACGCCCGGTTCCCACCCTCCAGATTCAGCCTTGTGGAATCCGGAGGGGAACCAAGGCAGGAGGTGCACCGGACGTCCTCTCGCTCTTTCACTGGCGGGGGGGAGGAAAGACAGACACCATATCTCCAGGCCACTAAATGTCCAGAGCAGCTGCAAGATAGCCGGGTTCAAATCCAGGTTCAACCACCGATTGCTCGCCTGGCCTCTTCTACCTTGCAGGGTTGTCGGGAGCACAGAATAAGGCAGGGGTGGGGAAAAGCCAAGATGTCTCAGCCCGCTGACCTACAAAGTGTTCCGACAGCGGCCGCAAAACGACAACCTTCCCTCCCTTACCCCACATCCCCACCCAGTGCAAAGCTGGGGTGAAGCTGGGAATTCTGATGGACACACCTAGGAAGGGCGTCCAGCCCCCAGGGCTGGTTTTCAGTGCACTCAAAAAGCTGCAGGAAGGGAAGGGAGGCAGTAAGCCTCTTTTTAAGCGAAATCCCTCTTCCACCAGCAGAAACCCAGCCATCATGGAGAACAGCCCCAGGACTGAAGTTATTCGGGCAGAAAGAACTGGAGTTGGTTTGGCTAGGGTTAAAGAAATCACTGGGATCCTAAACACTGGGCATTTTTCGCACTCGGTTCTTGCCACCCGTTCTTAGGAAAGCAAAATTAACAACTGCAGGCCGACAGGTTTGAATGGCAACCGAGAGCGTGCGGCTAACGGTCCAGTTAGGTGAAGACCGTTCGCTCTTTCACTCTACTGGTTTTCTTATTTGGTGATCTTCTCAGAACCACTTTGGGGGATGCAAAGAGAAGACAAGAGGAGTCCCTGTATCTATGGGATCGGTATCTGTGGTTTCACTTATCCACAGTCTGAAAATATTAAAAAGAGAAAAGGGGAAAAAAGCATATTTCCACAATGTAATGACCTAAATTTGCCACCGGAGGGAGTAAGAATCCATACTATGGGTAGGATTCACTATTATCCACAGTTTTTAGCATCCACATGGGACTTGGAACCAATCCCCCATAGATACAAGGGTCCTCCTGGAAATCACACCAAGGATAAGATGCAAAATGACCCACCATAAGCTTTGAGAAATGTTTCTTAAAACAAGTCTCACACCGCTGCAGGTAAAACCAGAGAACTAGAAACATAAGTTTATTTTAAACGAGAAGGTAGTTTTCTGGAATATCAGAGATGACCCTAAAAAGCCGACTAAGAAAGGGGAGGCTTCCCATCCGTTCTACGGGGCTCCCCCTCTGGCCTCCCTCTGCCTCCTCGCCTGTCCTGCACCCTGACTTACTGTTAAGGATTTAGAGCGACGGTACGGCTGGATGACTGGAAGTCCCAACGGGGTCACCCACTCCACCACCTGCCCCGATTTGGCAATGAGCGTGGCGCACTCTGTCAGCCAAGCCTGCGGGAGAAAAAAAACCAGGTGTGAATGAGAGTTTGGGAGTTCGAATCCTCCAACCCCCGGGACTCCTTGACGGGGCTGGCCTTGATGATCCACAGGGCCCCTCTCTGCGCTGTTTGTTTCATGAGGAGGAGGAACTACAAGGGGAGAAAGATGAGGAAGAGGGGAAGCTTAGGGACTAAGAAAGATTATCAATCTATCTATCATTACTTTTTTTCTTATCTATCTATCATTACTTCTTTTTCTTATCTATTGATCTATCATTACTTCTTTTTCTTATCCATCCATCCATCCATCCATCCATCCATCCGTCCATCCATCCATCACATTGAGGGGGAAAAAGAGACAGGGAATCTTAAGTTTGTTTGTGATTCGAAGACAGCCGGGAAGGACTTTAAACATTCCTTGGAGGAAAAATCAAGAGCGAAAAATCTAGGCTCTCAAACGGCCACAGAGCCACTCTTATGGACCAGACATTCCACTTTCAAGGGGGAACTAAGGCTTTTTGAAGGCAATGCTGTGATGTGAAGGAAGATGCCACGTAGATTTGTTCATTTATTTTTAAAATGCCAATCAAAAGAACACACCTCACTGCGATTCTAAGAGTTACGAGGATTTGCTTTTTAAATTGAGAGGAAAAATAATTCTAACGGCAGTTAAGGGAGGCTTCTGGGCTAGAAACTCCCCCCCCCTTTTTTGGCAGCTTCATAAACTAGCATCTTTTTTTTAAAGAGAGCATTTCTTAGAATGTACTAGCACAATCTGCAGGCGTAAAGGAAGATTAAACCAATAGATCAGAGAGAGAAAAACAGCAGGAAGTCTCAGAGGAACAACAACGTTATTCCACCCACTTAAGGGGGAAAAAGGCAATTAATACTTTACTTTTTTTACCTGGATTTCCCGAGTCCCTGTAAACATCTCCCGGAGGCTGTCGAAAACCTGCTTGACAAGATAGTGAGAAGCTTCCCATGTATATTTCTGGAAAGAAGGAAAGTGGTGTGAATACGAGGGAAGGCAAAAAGTGGCCCCTAAGATCTTCAAGGTATTTTTCAGGTTCATCTTTCCCCTTAAATGTTAGCCTTTCGGGCACAGTCAATGACACTCAAACTTGGTAAATGTTATTTTTTGGCTCTCTCTTCCCCGGCAACTTCCAGAACACTCCAACGTAAATGAGAACTACAGAGCTGGGCGGGACCCTCAAGATCATCCAGTCCAGCCCTTGACCACTGGGGGATTCGAAGCCCCAACTTCTGGCTTTGCAAGTCGGAGAATCTAACTCCACCAGTCCCAGAGACCTTCCCCATCCCAGGTAGCAAATCAAGGTCGAACAAGGGCTAAGAGGACAGAAAATGCCCCAGTGAGATGACACAAAACAATATATTAAGATGATTAAAACACGTCTTCCTTCATTAACACCTGGCATTTTAAATGTCCAGGCAGTGATACGACATCATTAAAAATGGCGTGAATCACCGATTAGAGAAAAACAACGAGCGGCAAAAAAACACAGATTTTTAAAGAAGCCTACACAGCTGAAAAAGGTCCAGAAGTCAACTGCCTTTACGCACAATAAAAAGAGGAAAGTGACAGCATGGGGAAAGGGGTTAGAGGGAGACGTAGGCGGCTCAGGAATGAGACCCCTTTGCTCACAGAGAGATTCCCAATCATCATACTGGGACCTTGGAACGAACACACACACACACACCGGTCTCATTCGACCAACCTAGAAGGGCTGTTGGGGCCACCCACATGGAATCGACTGTTGAATAACACGATTTAATTGATTCAAGTCCGGTTTGGACCCATGCATAGAATCCTAGGATGACGGAATTGGGAAGGGGGGGGGGCAGTCCCGTTATTGTACCGTTAGGAAGTCCACACACACACACACGCACACACCAAGATTCAACCTAAATGGCCCGTGGTTGCGTGACCTGCCCCTTGGGATGATGGAGGGCAGATCCTGCTAGGGATTGTCTGGGGTTGTTTGGGGTCATTGTTAAAGCAGCTTTGACCTGCTTTTAATAATTCAATTGCATTTTAATCAGCATTAACAGGTTTGTTTGTTTTTTAATTGATTAGTTATCATGTTTTTGATTCTATTCCTTTTAATGCTGGGAGCTGCCTTGCTTCCCCTTATGCGGAGAAAAGCGGACCTGAAAATAAAGGAATAAAATACTGTAATAAATAAAAAGAAACAGCAATGAGTGGAATAGAGGGGGTCTGAGCCAACCCGGGTTCTAATTCTGCCAGAGCGATCGAACACTTGGGGTGGCCTCAGGGCCAGCCACGCTCAGTCTCCGGCTGACTGGCCTACCTCAAAAGGTGACAGTCGGGCCGAACCTGGCCGAAGGCAACGCCATCGACCCCTTGCTTTGAAATCACCAGAGGAAAGCTGGCCGGTGACACGAGGAAGGAAGGAAAGAAGGAAGAAAGAAAGGACAGACAGAAGGGAGGGAGGGAGGAAGAAAGGAAAGAAGGAAACACGGAAGGAAGGAAGGGACAGATGACGATCAAAGACAGACAAGACCTGGGGGAAGCTGTCCATCTCCTTCAGGCGCTTCTCGATCTGGAGACGCCCCCCGTAGCGGGTGACCCCGTACACCACTGTCATCACGGTCTGTTTGACCACCTTGCGGCTGATGAACCCCTCCAAGATTTCAGCGACCCGGATTCCGCACTCGGCGTCTTGCTTCCGGAAGAGCTCCACCTGCCGGAGGGAGGGGGAGGGGGAGATGGTCAAGGGAAAAAGGGAACCAGAGGCAGGTGATTATGGGGTGGCGGTCCGGCCGGGGCTGGGGGGGGCAGAGGGAGAAAAAGAGGCACCTCCAGCCAGCGGCAGACTTGTCCAGTTGGAGGCCTGAGCAGGAGAATGACAATCTTGTTATTATTTATTATCCTTTAATATACAGGAGGGCTGCGGTATCCGTGAAGGATCACTTCCAGGTAGACACAGCAGATACAACGCACCACACACAGCACACATATGTGTGTCTCTCTCTCTCTCTCTCTCTCTCTCTCTCTCTCTCTCTCTCTCACACACACACACACACACACACAGAGCGACAGAGAAAAAAAGTCTGTAGTTCCCTCTAGTGGCCAGTTCTGACAGTACACCTTAGAAATCAGTACTTGGGGGGGCTGCGATTTCATATTTTCAGGCAGCTGATAAGTGACACTGCGGGTACTGATCCCAGAGAGGGCGGTCCTGCTCTGATGCCTTTCTCCTAGAATCTCACGCTCCCTCACAAAAGGGTTTAAAATGGGACATTTTACAAAAATCTTACCGGTTGAGGCAATTAATTTCCAAAGGCCTGTTTGAGGTGGGGTGGGGTGGGGGGTGAAGAGAGCTTCTTAAGGGCTGTGTTCAGAGAAAGTATTGCTGCAAGGTCACCCCTGTCCTCAGGCCAATTATCTGAGCTTGGATGGGCAATTAAGGGCCATTACCTTTACAAAAGACCCGCTCCTCAATTTTGTATTTTGTATGTGTGTGTGTTTTGGATAGAACAGGTGCCAGGTGAGGTCAAAACACCTGGTGAGGTGGCTGTGGGGGATTGCAATGATGCACCCCGGTACTTCCAAGTGGACCCCTGAGCCACCCATCGTACGGGGCTCCGGATTTGGCCCACGTCTTCCATAAAAGGGTAGACAGAGGAAAGGAGGAAGCAGCTGAAGACAAAGGAGGGAGGGGGGCGGTTTCCTATGCCTCTGGTTCCCTAAGGTACACTGCTCATGGACACAGAGGTTCCACTGGGTCCCCTGAAGAGACTGGGACTTTCTGGGCTGCAGGGAATTCGAATTCTGAGCTTGAGTACTTTTATTTAAGGACAAATGGAGAGGGTTTGAGGGCTCAAAGAAGGTTCTTCAATCCAGCCTGGCCCGCCCACTCCCATCAGGGGCTACCCAACGTTCAGTTCCTCACCCGCTGAGCCACCACGCTGTAGACATCCTGAGGCACGTCATCCGGCAAAAGGTTGACCGAGGCGGCTCCGATCACGTCCCGCCCGAGGGCAGCGTAGTGTTGAAGCCCGTTGCAAGAACCGTCCTGCAAAGGAGGAGGAGAAGAAGGGAGAGGGGCAGGAAATCACCCGCTGAGCAGTGTCGGAAAAATGCAACAAAGCCCGACGCTCCCTAATGAAGCCTGATACGAAAGCCACCGACTCTCTTTCCCCTCATCCTGAGTGTGTAACAAACCGAGACAGACCATGCCCAGCCATGGAAGTTCCACTTCCCTCCATGAAAAACTTAAACGGGTGGAACCTGAAACAAGGTTTTCTCCCCAGGCCATTTTCAGAGCTGGATGGACCCGAAGGCCGACGAGCAAGACCTAAAAAGTTGCTTCAATATTTTATCCTCAAGGTCTATCTCGATGGAACTAGTCCTTAAAAGAGATGCTTGGGTTTCTTGCTCCCCCCTCCCCCCGAAAATTAAAGAAAAACCACACAAACTCATGGTCGTATCATGAAAAAGATGGCGCAGCCCTCCGGGGGACCTGAGTGAGCCAGATGCAGCCTCAAGGCGGAGCGCCCCTGATCTCTGGGCCCCATGCTGGACGTTAGAACCTCCATGTCTCAGCACAGCCTGCTGCTTCTGGAGGCGATTCCCTCCTCGTGGATTGAGGCGCTTCCCAAGCGCGGCTGGCCAAAAGGGGACGACCCCAGGAGACCTCCAGATTGCTCCCCCCCGTCCCACCCCGAGGTTGCCCAGGCTGGACCCCCACCCCCATACCTGGTGAACGGGGAAATGGGAGATGTAGGCGGCCGGATCTGGCGACCTCACGGCGTTGGCGATCTCCATAGAGCACGCTAAGACCTGCCATGGCTCCTCCATGCCCATCCACCACTTCCGGCCCTGGGAGGAAAAGTTTTTTAAAAAAACATTAAAAAGGAAGGAAGAGGAGAAGCGGAAACTTTGCAAAATGGGTTTAATTCAAAGTTTAGTCCCCCCCCCTGTCTTTACAGGCATCCGAGCCAACACAGCTGGCAGCGAGGGTGGCGTCTGGGAGTCGCAACCCAAACCCCTCCCTGCCTGAGACCGGGATCCCCCGTGCCCCCGAGGGCCTGCTTCTCGAGCTGGACCAAACGCACCGTCAGTGGCCGGTCGGCGGAGTCCAGGATGTCATCCAGGATCTGGTTGGCGTAGGCCAGCCGCTCGGCCAGTGGGGACCGCTTCTTCAGCCCAGTGAGGTTGACAAGGTGGATCTTGAGCCAGTCCAGGCCGCGGGGGCCGAGGGACCTCCCTTCCCCGAGGAGGAGAAGGGCCCGTGTGAGGTCGCCCCCCAGGTGGTTGAAGTGGGGCGGGCAGGGGTACGTCCGGCCCCGGAAGTCCAGGTTGTGGGGGAACCAGAAGACGCGGCCCCGGAAGTGGCTGGCGATGGAGAGCTTGTAGAGGACGTCCATCCGCTGGCTGTAGGTCTCGGCCGCTCTCTTCCGCCACTGCGCATGCTCCCGCTTCAGCTCCGCCTTGGTCAGGGGACCCCGGCCTTCGGGGAGGCCCTGGGGAGGCCGGGGGGCCTCCGAGGGCGGTGGGGGGACCCCCAGCTTCACGTTGCCCTTGTCGTTGAAGATGGCGACGACGAGGTCCAAGATGGGGCCGTTAACCTGCCATGGGCAGTTGCCCAACTGGTTGAGCGCGTCAAAGACGGCGCCCAGGCGGGGGCGGGAGCACTGGCGCAGCACCTGCTGCCGGTGGGCGGCCCCGTCCAGCAGCCGGATCAGCAGGGCCGAGGAGGCGAGGTAGGCACCGGCCTGAGCGGAGATCCAGGGCACCGGCGGGCACAGCATGGGGAGGACGGAGGCGTCGAAGGCGAGGCCCGTGTCGGCTGCCTCCGAGGAGAGCCGGAGGACAATGGGGTGCAGCCGGAGGAACCCCACCTGCAGGACGGCAAGCGGGGAAAGGGAGGGCCGGAGGGAGGGAGGGAGGGAGGGAGGGAGGCAGCTCAGCCCCGTGCTCTCCAGCGACAGGATTGAAACCACACCCCAATCCCATCATCATCATCATCTATTTATGTATTTATTTATTTATTTATTGAAACAAGAGCCCCTCGGGAACGCAAGTGTCCCTGCCAGGTTTCCTTCCCCTGTCGCAGCATTTTCTCTCCAAAATAGGCCGAGAGACGTCCTGCAAGGGTTTCCTCAAGAAAGCATTTCATGTTATGCCAGTTCACGTAACGCCCAACATTTCCACCAGGGCACATCCGATTTAAATTCAAATGAACTCAAGTCACAGTTTAAAAATTTTAAGATTTTTTTGTTCATGGTTTAAATTTAAATAAAAAAATTAAATGATTTAAATCAATTTAAAAAAAAAATAATTTCTTTTTTATCCACCCTGGTATCTGCTTGCCTTCCTAACGCAATCTATGATTTCCCTTCACGGGGCTGGGAAGAAGCCCGCATTTTATTGTTTTACAATACCCTTTGCTGGAGGTGAAGATGAGTAGAAGTCTTTTTAGTTTTCAGACCACAGCCTGTTTTCCTAGGACACACTGGTGGACTTTACTATATGACAGACCATAGGAAGAGACTTAACTTCCTCTAACACCTGTGTATAATTTGCTAATGCTACTATACAGAATTCCCCAGACGTGTTGTCTTAAAATCCTACTGTATTTTTCAGGCCAGCGAAAAGCCATCAGTGTAAATCTCAGCCAGGAAGCTCCCCGTGTTAACAAGAGGGATTTTCCATTCTGCGGCAGGTTGTTGAATGGCAGACACCGAAAGCAGCTGACTTCCAAAGCTGCCGAGATTTCTGGCAAAGGCCGACACTGGCGGATTTGGATTGGCGGCAACGGACCTTTCTTGACCAGGGCGATGGTCAATCTCTCCAGCACTTAATTCAAAGACAGCCCTGCTTCTCTGCTCTGTTCTCTCCCCCCACTCACCACTCTGGAGTCAGTTGAGGTCTGTTGGTGAAAACAGTCGTGTTTGTCAGCCTGCTGTTGATGTATAAGTAAATGAAACTAATTTTTAAAAAATTCTTCTTCCAACAGAGGTCTCAGACTGAATCACCGAGACTGTAAGTGCCCGCGCTGGATGCCAGTTAAAAAGAGCCCAGATCAACCTCTTCCACCCAGGCGGCCATTACCTGCCAGGTGCCACGGAAAGAGTAGACGTGGTAGAGAGCTGGGATAAGCTTCTTCTCCGCTTTGGGCATCAGGAGGTTGCTCTCCACCTTGAGAACTTGGACCAGCAGCTCCACCAGGTGGATGCCCAGCTGGACCAAGACTTGCGTGGGCCAGAGGTATCCCTGACCCACCAGGGCCAGGTCGCAGCCAACCTCTGCGCCCACTTTCTCCCAGTACTCGCGCGGCAGGAAGTTGTCCGGCTGCAAAGAAAGAGGATGTGTTGCGGCTTGGTTGGGTGAACAGGCAGGTAACACCGCCTGGGGCACGGAACCCAGAAACCAGGGAGGAGCCTGGCGGAGAAGGGGGCAGGGCCTGGCAGAGAAAGGGGTGGGACCTGGTGGAGAAGGGGGCGGGGCCTGGCAAAGAAGGGGGTGGAGCCCAACGGGATCAAGCGGAAGGACAGCAGGGCAGACCGTGGTCTCCGCAGGGGGAAATAAACACTCCAAAGCTCCTAAGGATTGAAAGATCACCTCACAGTGGAGCTCAGGGGTGAAGGCCGCAGCGCCCGAGGTTCAGAGTTTGCTACCACTACCTTTGTGTCTTTCGCGAGAAGCTGGACGTAACGGCCGTAGATGCTCTCAATCTTCCCCAACAAACGGCCGTGGATTTTCTTCTGGATGAGGTACCGGGCGTAGATCTTGTTGCCCAGCTCATGGGCGATGGTGGTGAGAGACTCTCCCACGGGGGGGAGAGTGGAGAGCATCTGGAAAGCAGAGGTTTTTGTGGTAAAGGTAAAGAGGGAAATATTCTACCCCAGCCAAGGAAAAAGACCAACGAAGCTGAAATATTAACCAATGCAGGAACTCTAAGTTTTAAATCTAAAACTGGATTGAAGACGGGACCTCAAGAAAGGTGTGATATCTGGCTTTAATTTCAGACGTAAGACTGTTAAGATGTATTGGTAGTAGGACCCATTGGGGGATGAGTTGCAAGGCCCTCCAGCAGGAAAGAAAGCCGAGATGGAAAAGGAATAAACCCAGCAACCTGTGGGGAACGTGGCCGGCCTGGTCTCGGTCACCTTTCCGTCCCGGGAAAATGGGCACAACCTGGCGGGTTTTACCTGCATCATGATGTCCACGTACTCTTTTTCCGGAATCACGCAAAAGAAGGGGTACAAGTTGATCTGGTTCGTCTTCTTCATTTCCATGTGGAGCTTGGATTTCTGGAAGCTTCGGAGGAGATCCGCCTTCCAGCGGGAACGGAGCGCGTCCAGGAGCATCCGCTGCATCGGGACGGAGGAAAAGGAAAAAGAAAAAAATAATAAGCCACGCTAAGGGGACGGCGCATCTCCCTCAACCCAAAGAGTCCATTATTTTGGGGGCAGGCGGCTGAATAAGGAAAGAACGTCTGAAAGGCAGCAAGGCCCCTTCGAGCCCTGGGGGGATTTGCCCAAGGCACTGCGGACTGGCTGCCAGGCTGGGGGATGATGGAGGCTGGAGTCCAAATCTGGGGGGGGGTCAGACTGTTGGGCTTTAAGAGGAAGATGGGCACCATTTGAAGGCCAACCTATTCACCGGAGACGTTAAAATCAGGACGACCCCCATATCCATGGGATCAGTAGCCAGTTTCACTTATCTGAAAATATTAAAAGAAAAAAAATGCACATTGTAGTTACAGGAACTGGCCCCTAGAGGGAGCCAGAAGCCAATCTAGGTATAGGGTTGGCTATTATCCGCAGTCTTCAGCATCCATGGGACGGGGAATGTGGAATTGATCCCCTATGGATATGGGGGTCCAACTGTAAATTTTAAAGAAAGCTTTTTCAACGTTCTCAAGGTGAGCTACCAGGGGTTTCTAGCTGTGGTGCCCGAGGTTGGGAGTTCGAATTCCCCCACTGGGCCTCCTTGGACTTGGTGATCTATAGCAGTGCTTCTTAATCTTGGGTTACTCAGGTGTTTTTGGACTGCAACTCCCAGAAGCCTTCACCATCAGCTCTGCTGGCTGGGGTTTCTGGGAGTTGCAGTTCAAAAACACCTGAGTAACCCAAGGTTAAGAACCACTGATCTATAGGAGTCTCATCCACTTCTGCAGTTATGAGATCATTAAAATGATTTAGCCTCTCAGTTTTGCATCAGAGCTGAGATTGGGCAAGGAGGCTGTCTGTCTGAGCCTCAACACCCAGGCTCCACTGAAGTTCTGGCCGTCTTTGCTCCCTCCTATTTCAGAAACACAATCCTGGGGCTGCCTTCTGCTACTTTGACCCGGCAGAATTGGTGCACCCTGGGGTTGAAAAAAATAAAATAAAGGCAGTTATTTAAAGGCGGCTTAATGCATTAAAAAAACAGTATTAGAAGCTAAGAACAACGATGATCACGTGCGTCGTCAATTCCGACTTAAGGCAACCTTTTCCCCAGGATTATCCCGGTAGAGAATAGTCAGAAGTGGTTTCCCCCTCCCTTCTTCCGCGGGGCAGGGCGGTGGGGGAAATCTCTCAGATTGGGCCCACTTGCCCCCAAGGCCACACAGGCCGGTTCTTAAGCCCAGGAAGCTCAGTGAGAATTCGAACTCCCAGCCTCTGGTTCCACAGTCAGACGCCCGAGCTCTCCAACCAGCCGAATCAAGTAAATTAGAATAGAGAAGCCTGCCGTCTATCTTTACAGCAGCCCTCCTCGACCATGTTTGGTGTTTTTTTTTCTTTTGGCCTTAGCCACAACCTCAATAGGGAAGAAATACAGGCCAAGTCAGGAATGCCTCAGCCGCCAAAGGAAGGTGGTGTTTGGAGAATGGTTTCCAGGCGGTGGCTCCCCCTTTCCAACACGGCAGGGCCCCCGTTGACAGCGAAACCCCAAATCCTCGGCCATCGTGCGGACAGAGCCATAATCCGACCGATCTGGAGGGAGGTGGAGATGCGAGCCCCCCGCCGTACGGCGCGCGAGGTCTCGCCTGCTGTGCCCGAGCCAAAGCTTCTCTACATTCATTTATCCCCCTCCACCACCACCACCCGCAAAGTGCGAACGCAAACCCCAGCCGCCCTGTTTACCGCCTGGACGATTCTCTCTGTGACAGGAGTCTTCTGCACCGATTGGATATTGATCGTGCCAGAGGTCTCCAGGGCCAGCTGCTGCTGGAACCGCTCTCGAAGGTCTTGAGCAGTGAAATCCAACTTGGGATAAGAGACACAGTTCCTCTGGGGGAATCGAATCAAGAGAGAGAAGCTTTTTAGTGTTGGGGGGGGGGAGAGAGAGAGAGACTGCTTTTTTCTTACCAAAGGGGCCCTGGCATTTTTTGTAAAATATCGACATTTCCGAGAGACTTTTCAACATCCGCCCAGGCTTCCCGCCACGCCTCCCAGCCACCGGCAAGAAATCTCCGGCTCACCTGGGCGTAGAAATCTTGGAGGAGGGGGATGGTGCAGGCGCCTGTCCTGCGAGGCGGCCGCGGCGGCTGGAAGTCCGGCACGATCACCCTGATGGCCTTCAGCGCCATCTCCACCTCATCCTCTTGGTACAGGCCTTCGGGGAAAAGCCCTTCCAGAGAGTAGCCATCGTTCCGGAGCTGCGCCAGACATCTGGGGTGAAGGAGGAAAAAGGTGGGGCCTTCTGATGCAGGGCTGGTTGACACCGGAGAGCCCGCAGCACCACCGACCAGCGGGGGTGTGTGTGTGCGGAGGAGATTCCCCCGCTTTGTACCTTAAAGATCTAACCCTACATGCTAGAATTGAGCAATGACATAGCCAATATTTTTCTGTCTAGTGTCCCAGCAAACTACGGATTGGCCGTTTCTTCGAAGGATAAAGTTCCCGTCTGTTGCACCCTCCTTCCTTCAGCAAATGGTACCGTAAAACAATAAAAGGTTCCCTTCCGGATCTCCTGGAGGAAATGACATGTCATTTAGAGAAGACAGAAACTCAAAGATGCCTCAACGGGATAATATCCTGGGAAACAGGTCTTCAAAGATGTGTCCATCCAAATTAAATGTTTATGCTCTATGTATGTTCTGTACAGGAGAACCCCTGTATCGATGAGGGACTCATTCCAAGCTTCCCCCTGCGGATGCCGAAAACTGCAGATAATAGCAAACGTGCTACACAACAGTCTCCGGCTCCCTATAGTGGCCATTTCTGGCAATGACATCAGGGAAATATCAACAGCATTTCTCAGATGTTTCTTTTTAATATGTTTAATATTTTCAGAACGGGGAATAAGTGACACCATAGAGAGCAAACCCTGCTGATACAGCCCCCCCCCCGGCGTCTATTTACTCTGCATTTCTTTGTTTCCTCCGATTTTCAGGCTGCAGGCTAAAAGCTCACGGCAAAACCCCATCTGTCAGAAGGAAAATGGCAGGGTTTGTTTTTTAAATTGTCCAGTGGTGCATTACGCATCTTGGCATGCAAGTTGTAGACAGAGTCAGAATGAGGGCACACAGACCCCTTGTGCCAGGTTAGATAGGCATCAATAAAATTCTGGCCTCTGAAGCGAAGTGTTTATTTTCAAGTTGGCCTTTGCTGGGACAGCTCTTGGACAGACACATCCTCTCCGGAAAGGAGATATATCACCTGGCAGACGGTTCAAACCTCACACGTTGTATTCAGAGACGGCTTTGTCTCAAACAAGGAATTCAGATCCATCCGCTTTTATCAGAAGGCCTGCTTTCGGCTCTGAGGGAACCAGCTAGACTTGGATTAGGGAGACTGAGCTGTCTTGAACCTGGGCTTAATAATTTTTGGAGGGAGCAGAGGCTGGTCTACAGAATTTACCACCCCCATGTCCATCCCATGACAGTGAAGGCCTTCAAGAAGCACGGCGGATCGGATTTAAATGAAATTGACTGAAATCACGATTTAAATCACGTTTAAAACTTTGAAAAACTTTTTTTTAATGACTGAAATTTTTAAAAAATCATTTTGAATGATTCAAATCATGATTTCAATCAATTTGATTATTTAAAAAATGATTTTAAAAAAATCATCCACCAGAAGGTTAAAGGTCTCTGTAATCCAGTACCCTCCTTCAATGTGGGATGTCTTCAGGAAGTGAGAGAAGCAGGGGATCTTCAGAGGGAGACCTTCAAAGGAATAGGAGGTTCTACCTCATCATCCTTGAGACTGGGACCAACCCTACCTCCCTCTTGCCCTTTAGAGGACAGCCTACAGTCTCTAAGGGGCATGACCCGTCTTATGCATTTATGCACTACACACCGGCCGCGAGGTAGAGTCAGGCGGTCAAGAACGGGTGACCCCGCATCGCCCGGAGGGTTTCTGGGGCTTCGTCAGCCCTCCCAGCTGCTTTGGAGGTTTTACGTACAAAAGCGTGGTCATTACCTCTCGATTAAGTCGGGGTGGGTTTCGGAGCGCCCCATGCAACTTAGCACAGCCACGTAGGAATCCGGGTTCGGGTCCAGTCCCGCCTCGTCCAGCATCCGGAACACAGAGGCCACCTGCCGGAGGGCGCCCTGGGAGGAGGGGGAAGACGTTGGGAAAACAGAGGGGGGAACCGGATGCTCAACATTCGACCGCTTGGCGCTCAGCCACTGGCCCACGGCCGCCTGGGTTTTCTCCACCCCCTGCGAGGGAGGTGGAAAGGGAGAACCAGGGACTGGGGCCAGGCTGACGGGTACGCTCCGCCAGGACAGGATTTAACCCAGGGGTCTTCCTGGTTCCCAAGCCATGGTGCCGCCCTGCCTGGCTCACAATCGCTTCCACGTGAGTCCTGAAACTGGGGTGCAGCGGCGCTCACGGTGCAAAAGCAAACCCCACGTGGCTGCCTACATACTGGGGGGAATCATCGCCCCACGCGGCGCGAAGGCGAAGGAAGGGCGACTGACATGGTCAAAGAGGTGAATCCTGAACTCAACCCCTTGGGGCTCAGCTCTGTGGGTGCGAGTGCGGACGGGCACATGCCATCAAACCAAGTCTGATGGACGGTGACCATTTTCAGGGTTTCCGAGGCAGAGACGTGGCTGATCCTTCCCTTCTTTGGGGGGCGGAGGGGGAGATCCCTGGGACCAATGAGCAGCTTTTGCTCAAGGCTACCCAGGCTGGCACTTCTCCCCCAGGAGGCAAACCATGGGGGGGGATTCAGACTCCCAACCTCCGGCTCTACAGCCTGAGACCTCAACCCCTGTGCGATCCAGCCAGCTGGTGCCAGGATCGAGTCCTCCAGAAGGAGGCTGCGCCCGCCAACCTAGCAGGGCAGGCAAGGGCCCCGGGCCAACAGAAGGCACGCCAGACAGGACAGCTACCTGCTTGGCCTGGCCGTGCATGACGAGGTTGTACATCCGGAGGTCCAGCACCTTTTGCCGGCGGTGGTGGTAGAAGGCGAGGCACCGCTGGGCACGGTCGAGCTGACGCAAGAAGACGCAGGTCTCCAGGTAGGCCAAAAGGCTCAGCCGGAAGTTCTCGTCGCCCTTCGCCTCCGCGGGGGCCGGCGGCTGCTCTGGGCGAGCCTCCACTTCCTCCCGGTGACCGAGGGCGGGCTTGGCGGGGGCCAGTCCTTCCTCAGAGGCGCTGCTCGGCAGTCGCTTTCCTTTCGTCTGGCCGGGTCCCATCTTCAGGGCAGGGGGCAAGTCATCGCTCTCTTTCGGCGGGGACCGGCTCGGCTTGGCCTTGGCCCCTGAGGAGTCCCTCCACCCCAGCCCAGTCTGCAGTTCCTCGAGCTGCTTCCGCTTCACCAGTCGCTCTCGGTGCAGCTTCTCCATCCACCGGCTCGGCGGGGTGATGCCGCGGTCGTCGTCCTTCGGGGCCGGCTTTTTTGGCACCCACGCCTTTGGCAACGGGGCGGCCGGCTGGCCAGTGCTCCTCCTCAGCCCGGACACGAAGACCCGCTCCACCAGCGCCTCTGGCCCCGTGTCGGCCTGCAGCTGCTTCACCCTCGCTTCCAAGACTGGGGAGAGAGCAAAGCCAAAGGGAAGAAAGGCCACAAGGCTGATTTTGACACAGAAAGCGCCGGCTGGACTTTGAAACGTTATTTAAAGCATTCTTTATGCCCCTTACTCTTTTTGCCCTGCCTTTCCCCTGAAAGAGGAGCCAAAGGAGCTTGCGTCATTAAAAACACAAATATGAAAAGCTAAAAGCAGTGGATTATTCAAATATTTAAAAAGAATGAATAAGCCTATATTTCAAAGGTTAGGTAAAAGCAGAATTAAAACAGATTTAGAAGCAAGAAAATTCAAACCACCCCGTTCTTACAACCCTCTTACGCAGTTGGTCATTAAGGGAGAGGAAGGTCTTGTTGGCTTGCCTGCAGAAGGAGAGCCCAGCTGGGGCCAGGCTGGCCTCCAGTGGCAGAGAGTTCCAGAGTCTCTCTCTCTATATAAAGAAGACCCTCCTCTCCTGGGTGCCCACAAAATGGACCTGTGAAGGTGGTGAGACCAAGGGAAAAAGGCCTGTCCTGATAAAACGCCTGCCTTCTGCAGGTGTTAACTATGGAACAGGATTTTAGCAAAAGAAGCCCTATGCATTTATTACCAATTACTGATGTTTTCCCCGATGGCCTTAAGGTGCTGTAGCCAGCTAACTTCTTTTCTGTTTCCAGCATCACACCAGCCCAGCGGGAAAGATCGGGGTGGCAGAAGGAGTGTGGGTTTTTCATGACAGAGGATTTGAACCCAGTACCCTGCGACCAGACAAGACCCTAACCACAAGATGTTCAGCTCTTGCTTTGGAGAAACCACCTCGTTTTTCACTGGCTGCCAGTCCTTTAGACAGGATACAGAATGTGGTGTGTGTGTGTTTTGGTTGCAGGACTTAATAGGAGATTCAGTGATTGTGGCCACAAAGGTGTGTGACGAGGGTACAAACGGCTGCCTTTATTTCCACTGGTGTAGATTCTTTTTTAAAAATACTTACTTACCTTCCACTAACTCCACCTGTTCCCACAGCAGTTTTTTCCGGGCTTCTTCCTTCATCTCAGTCAATGAGTAACTCCTTAACCCGATCCGCAGGCTTTCTGTAAGGCAAGGAGGAGGTGTGTTCAGAACCTCAGAAGCTACATTTTTAGGAACTCTTGCCCCTTAGATTCACCCGCTGGCTTTGTTAGGAAAAAAAATTGCAAAACCAGGGTAGGACAATGTTTTGGGGAGACAGCCACGACTTCCCTGCTGAGCAACCGTCCTAGATCAAAACACCACGCTAAGTTTCTGGTCCTCAAGATTCTGAAAACACTGCCAGTTTAAACCACAAGGCAGGAAATTTGGCTTACAAGGATTCAGTGGCTCACCTTAAGGGTCAGACAAAGTCTCCCCCAGGTGATCAGGGAACAAAATCCTGTTTTATGCCACAGGGTATTAAGATGTGCACAAATGAGCGACGGAAAATACAGTATATCTGAATTTTATTTTGCCCAACCCTGGTTCTTAAACCAGGAGAACTTGTCAAAACCTGGGAAACTCATGCGGGGTTGTTCTTCCACAAGGGCAGAATGCAAGCAGGAAGCTGGCCAGCAGCAGCAGCCACAACATTAAAAGCAAAAGGGGGAAATTAGGGCCGCTTTCGAGGACAGTAAGATTCACAAGGACGACAACAATAATAATAATAGGTTGATGGAACTGATCAGGAAAAAAGGCATGTGTGTAGGGGAGAAAGGCAGCAGCACTTTAAAAACTAACAGATTTCTCTCCTGATCAGTTTTTGTGGATTAAAAGGCCACTTTCTGAGATTTGGAAGGTCACATTAAAACAAATTTCCTAATTATTCACGTGCTATCGCACTTTTTCTATCCATTTTCTCTGTTTTTGCATCCCCCCTCCCTTTTCATTCGCTGACACGCTAACAGAGAAATCTGATTTTTTTTCCTAGTTGCCGGCCCCCTGCTTTTTTTTAAAAAAAAAAAGTTTTAAACCACTTGTTATTTTATGTACCCACAAACTGGGACCAATTTATCATGACCATGGGGTGAGGGAGGTGAACACGCCCCCAAGGAGTTTCCATGGCCAGATCTGATCCCAGGTCAAGGAAGCCTAGTTCCTCCCTCTTATCCACTACTACACCACACACCACTGGGCCATCAAATCAGTTCTGATTTATAGCCACCATTTTCAGGGTCTCCCAAGTAGAAAATACTCAGAAGTGATTTATCCTTCCCTTCTCCTGGGACGGGGTGCTGGCCCAAGGCTAACCAGGCTCTTCTCCCAGGAGGGGGATTCAAACTCTGAACCTGTGGCTCCACAGCCAGAGACCTCAAACTCCCCCCATCTCCGAGGTCTATAAGGATGACAGTATCATTTTAGCGTAACCACTTGGGATTAATCCAGGTAGAAGCAACCCTTCGAAATAAACGATCCCACGGCTGTGTGGCAGATTTCCAAACTCCCTACAAAAGGAAGGAGGGGACGATCCGGACGAGACTGTGAAAGGACCAAACAACAGAAGCCGAACCCCAAAAGGTTACTTCAGGACCCCAAAGCAGAATCACGTGCCCCCCCCCAACATGGCAATATTCCCACCCATTGAAATTCAGGATCCGCAGAGGGTGGGCGGGCTTTTTGTTTTGGAGGGTGGGGAGCGGCTGGGGGGGGCATCTGCTGCTAGACTTTCAGCCCCAGAAAAGCCAGGTTTAAAAGAGAATCACCACTCCCCCCCCCAAATAAGGAGGAGGTGAGACCCCCCCTTTATATAAAGGGAGCAGAATAGAGAATATAATATACATTGAATATAACAGAAAAGTGGAACTGCCAGACGCACCCCCCAAGAAAGAGGGGCACCAGCTCTCCTCCTGTGGCAAGACATATGGGGGGGCTGAGCTGTGGGGGGGCGGGGGATGCAGCCCCCCATGAAGAGTGGGGTTCAGGAATTCACCTTTCCACAAATGGGGGCGCTGGAAGTGTGGGGGGCTAATTCCTAACCCCGCCCCCTTACCTCTGGCCACACCTACCTGTACCCCGCAGCAGCGCCCCCTGCAGCTTCAACATGGACATGGCCCCCTTTGCCCCCCACTAAGCCCCCCACATTTCTGCCTAGCCTGCTCCAGGCAACCCACATTGCCTCCCCGCCTGGTGCGCTTGCGCGGCGCGCTCGCTCCTCCCGGCTCCTCCTCCCTGTGCCTTCCTGACCCGCTCCGCCAATCGGCTGCCAGCGTGGGAAGGGGCCGCGGAGGCTGCCCCGGGACTACGTCTCCCAGCAGGCGCTGCGAGGAACGGGATCCAGGCCGCGTGGAGCGGTGCCTAGATGAAATAAAAGAAAGAGTGAGGGAGCGGCTCGGAGAGGTCATTTCCGGGTCCGCACTTTTATTTTTAAGTATATTTTGAAGACTGGAAAAGTGAATTTAGTTTTAATTACCGTCGCTATCGCTGCTTCCTTTTTGGGAGTAGAGCATCCAGAATCCTCCAACCAGCCTTTGGACTACAGTTCCCAGAACCTCCCAGTCAGCATTCTGAGCTTTGTAATAATAATAAAAAAGTTCCAAGTTGTGTGGGGGGGAATTATTATTTTCATTAATTTCTATGGGGAGAGATGATATTGTAAATATTCGGGGGACTGGGGGTAAAGGAAAATTCAAGCCACTGCTGCCAGCAATTAATTGCTGCCAATGTCATTAATTTATTTATTACTTCATTTTTTAAAATAAATATTCATTGATTCAAAATATTTCCCCCCACCTTTCTCCTTTAAAAAGACCTGATTATCAGAGATCACTGATGTTTCTTCCACCAATTCCCACTCTTCCTACATCTGAATCTTGCCTGGCTTTCCATATGAGATGTTCTGCATGCAGATTGAATGGATCAGGGGATAAAATGCACCTTTGTCTGACCCCCTTGGCCTGGAGGAAATTGTGATGTTTTTCTACATTCCCAAAGCTTCTCACCCACACCCAGAAAAAGAAAAAAGAGAAGGAAAAAAATGGATTGGGCTCCTGTAGCTTTAATAATTGTTTTAATCATTTAAGAGTGGAAGAAATTTCATCAGGTGCAAGTATGGATGCAAGCTACACCTGCTGAAAGTTCATCCACCTGTAACTATTAAAGATAATACTTGCTCTCTTTTTCTCAAGGGATTACCTGTCACTATTAAAGATACAGAAACCTGGCTCTCTTTTTCTCAAGGGATTCCCCCCTCCAGCCTGATCCCCTCCATTAGTGTAAAGAAAATAGGCCAGTCAAGACCAAGGATTCCAAGTTCTTGCTATCCAATTTTTTTTATTTTTGTTTTTAAACACTTAGAAATAGCCTTCCTTCACAAATAAGCCACTCCTGTGTTACCCCGTTCTCTCTGCCGAACGATTCTGGACCCTTATATGGCACAAGCCTTTCGGGGGAGATACGACTCTTAAGCCATAAACCTTCCCTCCTTTCGGCTGGCAGAGATTTAATCCAGGGTTTAATAAGGCAGGCCGGGAGGGAGGCAGCTTCCAAGGCAGCCTTGTGACGGAATCCTGTGTGAACACAGCAGTTGTCACAGGGTGTGGGCAGGACAGGCTGCCGGAGGCTTGCAAGAGCCCTGTGAAATGGTAAGCCTCCATCACACACACAGGCACCACAAAGTGGGCTGTAGCCACTTAACTTTAATTTTTCTCTTGATTCCACAGAGCGAGTGGTCTAAGCGTACAGCAGAGAACAAAAATCCATTTTGTTGTGCTCTGTTGCTTTAAATGTGTTATAATATTTATCATTATTTAAATCATTTAAAACATTTTTAGCCCGTCTTTCTCCTTAAAAAGAACCCAAGGTGGCAAAATTTGGATTTTATTTACCATTTGAATATAATAGTTGTTTAATTCTTTTTTTACAGATGTTTAAAGCCTGTTTATTTCCTTTTCATTATTATTATTTTATTTAATATTAAAACTAAAATGCAAATTTAATAGCTACACACAATGCACATTGGACTTTCCCCACCCATGTCACCACCTTCACCCTTGAGACTAAGTGACCCGAAATATAAATTTATACCCCCTTTTCACCTTTACCTCTCCAAAAATACTGTACAAAGATTCTTTTGCTGGCTTTTCCAATTAGAAAAGACATGATTCCAAGTATGAATTCCACACATCTTTGAAATCATTAGACTTTATCATTCCTCTTTTCTTTTCATATGTTAACTTATAATTAATTGCTAAACTCCACATTTATTTATACCAATCTTCCAGATTGATTTGTCACTTTTCCACAATTCTTTACAAATATTTGTCTTGCTACTGTAACCGTAACAACTAACTCTTTCTGATCTTTTTAAGAGGGTCATTCTTAATCTTATATATATATAAAATTTGGAGGACAATAATTGGTAATATATTTTTTAAAAGTTGTATACTTATTGTTTTACCTTTTAAATACTGTATTGTGTTTTTAAGCACTGAAGCTGCCTGGAGGGTTCCTTTTAAGGAGAAAGGTGGGGCAGAAATATTTTAAATAAATAAAATAAAAGAAGGAATTGGTGAGGAAACTTTGAAAAAGGAGCAATCAGCTGTGGCCAGAAGAGGAGCAGGGCCGAGGCCACGAAAAGAGATTCTCCTGTGGCCTCCTGGGTACCACCTGCATCTCGCAAAGATGCTCCAGATGTTTATCAACACCCCCCTCCGGGCTCCGGGATGCAGGTGTTTCTGATTGGATCGCTTGCCNNNNCCGTGGCGTAGTCGGTTGGAGCGTTGCCAGAGGGGGCGGGCGGGCCGGAGTCGGCCGTTGCGAAACGCAGGGACCCCGCCCACCCGGGGGCCTCCGATTCGCCGGGAGGCGAGCGGAGCGGCTTGGATGACACGGTGGGCGGGACCGCGGTGGGCGGCGGTGGCCTCTGATTGGCCGCCTCCCGGATCGGAAAGGCGGTGTCTTGGGGGGAGGCCGTGCGGAGGGAGGAGGAAGAGGAGGAGGAGCTGGGAGGTAAAAGCCTCGCGAAATGAGCTTGAGGCGCTTATTGAGGCGGACTCTGTTGTGTGGTGCGGTTGCCACTCGAGGCCTGACCCGGACCATGGTGAGTAAGAACGCTCCGCTTGGCTCTGCTAGGCCTCTTTCCCCGACCTTACCCTTCTAGCCCCTCTCCTCTATAATCCTACCATAGAGACCCCTTGGGTGGGACCAGAGCGTCTCCCCAGGAGGGACCCCCCCTCCCGAAAAAAACTGCCTTTTATTTCTCAAAGTCCTTTCCTCAGAGCCTTTGAAATCTTATGTTGCCTTCCTTGCAAGCAAACGCCTCCTTCCTTCCCCTGAAAGGGGTGATCGGGCATTTCTTCCCCCCCATCATTCCCTGGGTTGTTTAAATCCTGGGGCCCAAAATTCCCATAATTCCCTCTTAGAAGAAAGCCTGGGTTCCCATAATTCTACTGGTGCAAAATTCCCATAATCCTCTGGCAAAGAAAGCCTAATGCCCTTGATGGGGTGTCTTCTCTCCTTAATGGACTGGTTCCCTAATTTCCCCCTAATTTCTTGCCCATTTTTTCCCTTCTGCTTTCTGCAAGATTGACTAATATAGATCAGAAAAAAATTAAAACGCCTTGGGCAAGGTAAAGTACATTATATGTGCTGCTTTTCTAGCTATCTGGCTTTCCAAAGTGGTTTTAGAAGAATATGATGTGACTAGTCATAAACCTTTAAAAGCCACCTGGAAATATCTTTTTCTGCAAATGCAAAACATCTTTTTTTGCATTTTTCTGCAAATGCAAAACATCTTTTTTTGCAAATGCAAAAAAAAAAAAAAATTGGGGGAAGTGACATTCATTAGGAACCACCAAGTCTGATCCTGCGTTGTAATTTTCCAGAAAAATAATAATAAGGTAGCAGAAACTTTTCTCTTTCTTTACTGGTTTATAATGTTTATACCTCGTCTTTCTCCTTTAAAAAAAGGGGGTTCCAAGGTTAATTAAAGAGGTTCATGAGAGCATGCTGGTTTCTGCTTTCAGGGAAGGAAAAAGAGGCATGTGTTTGATGCAGCCTGTTTTTGCCCCCTCCAGACTCTCTCTGCCGAACGATTCTGGACCCTTATATGGCACAAGCCTTTCGGGGGAGATACGACTCTTAAGCCATAAACCTTCCCTCCTTGGGGGCCCCTCCAGCCTTTGCGACGGCCAGAGGCAGACACAAAGCAGAGCAAAGACACACACGCTCCTGTGAAAAATCCATTTTCTGTGTCCTGTGTCTTTATACCCTCCTCTTTTTGTCATGTGCTTCTCTTTTCATGCGTCACTCCTGCATGGTAGTAGGATTATGGTTTTTGTAAGTCCTCTTGGCTTTCCTTGCCTGCTGCGTGGCTTTTCCCAGCAGAGGAAGCTCTGCTCCCTAATGCGGGCTGCCCCTAGACAACCGCAAGGTGTAAATGGGAGCTGTTGGATAACTTGGCCACCCCTCCCAGAACTTCTCGGAGCTATGCGCAGCTGGAGCACAGGCAATTATCCGCAATTAAAACGCTGCCTTCCAATTAGTTGGAACACTGAGGTTCCCACTGTCGAGCTGTCGGCTGTGGTTTTGTTAAACCCTGGAAGTCATAAATAAAAGCTAGCCCAGCAAACAGAAAGAGAGAGAACTTGCTTGGAACGGATTTGCATTTCAAATTGATCCGTTTCCACTCTGCAGAGGATGCGCTGGCATGGCTGATATTAAGAGGAAAGGTCAGGCCTGTTTGGTGGAACCCACTGGGGGGTGTCTGTGAGCAGGGACCCGCCAAGAATCTCTCCTGAGAAGACCGTTAGTCCCAATTAATAGGGAACGGCACAACAAGAAGTAGGTTGAGATGCGCCAGGGTGCTAACCTGGCACCCAGAGCTGAGACGCTGCCCCTTGGTGGGATTTTGATGATTCAACACCTCTGTAAACCCCGTGGATCCTAGATGGGATTAAGAATGGGATTTAGCCTCAATTCAAGCACAGAATCGGCTTACGTGTTTTAAACCTGAAATAGAATTAGGATGAGTGACTTCTCAGCAAATAGGCGCGGAACTGGATCCTACCGTCCCAGAATTCAAGGTCCTTTAAAAGCCAGGCAAAGGAAAAAAGGGGTTTACAGCCTGAGTGTCAACATCGCCAGGGGTGAGAGCAAAAATCACCTTGTTTCTCCCTGCGGAATTGATTCCCCACTGGTTGTTCTTGACAGGGGCTGGATTGGATGACCTCTAGAGGCTCTCCAGTTGTAAGAGTCGTATTGTTCTCATCTGGTAGATGGAGCAAAGAGAAATATTGCCAAAGGTTAGACTCCAGGGGCTCTGTTTTCATGCCATTTTTGCTCAGAAAGAGATCAGAAGCCCTTTGCCACATCTTGTGGCAAAGGGTTCCATAAATTTGTCATATGCATGGGGCAAACCTTTTTCTCACAGCCTGGAGGCACTGCTTGTGAATTGTATCAGGGGACGCTCTGTTCCAGTGCAGGCAGTGGAGGAACATGATTATCTCCTGCTCCCTTGACCACTTCGAAATGTGCCCCTGCTGGGCGGCTAACAAAAACGAGCCTTCCCGAAAACTGTGGAAGGGGAGCCAGGGGCTAGAAAGGTGCTGTCTGCAAACCCATCGGCAGAACTCTAGGTAACAGTTTCCAAAGAAATTGGCCCGTTTTGGCCAAAGGGAAAAATATGGCCAAATAGTACAGCCTTTTGAAGGCTCACCGTTTTGTCTCAAGTATGAGCTTTTGCGGATAGAAATCCACTTCTTCAGATGTGTATTTGTGTAAATATGTAGGGGGGTATATAATGTATACTTGTTCTTCTCTTAAGGTTAATAAAATTGTATTTGAATGAGGCAGGGTACCAGACCGGGGGATGATGATGGGCCTTCTCCTCCCGCTTCCAATGGAATTTGCCTCCTTTATTGCATTATTATTATTGTTGTTGTGAGTGTTGCTGAAACCCCGAGGCCGATCTCCAGCGGGGGCAAGGGGGAAGTGGCCCGTCAGGTGGGCCTGCATCTGCTGCAGTGCCAAGGAGGGTGTGCGAAGGGGCCCAGAGACTCTCCACCTTTGTCTTCCTTGGCTGGAGACCCGGCTGTACCAAATCTGGAGCGCTTCGGCGAGATTTCACTGGGTTACTTCCTCCTCGGCAGAATCTGTTCCCCTCTCGGTTCTCTTTCCCCGGAAGGGCCTGGCTGTTAAAAGTCGGGAGAGTTGGGCCCGAAACGATCGCCTTTCTGGCCTGGTGGATTTTTTGGGTTTTTAGGCTTCGGCTTCATCTGTCCCTCCTGAGCCGGCCAGGAAAGGGCGGGGAGCAGCTGGAGAGAGGCCAGCCAGCCCACTCACCCCCTCGTGGGATGATGAAGCTTTTAGTAAGCCAAAGGCTTTGCCCATCTTGCAGATCAGTAAGAGCAAAGGTCAGGCAGCGAGGAGCAATTCAAATCCCTGCAATCTCTTGTCCCCTTTTAATTGGCAGAGCAAAGACAGAAGGGCGGGGACCTTAATCTTCCCTTCATGCTCGTTAGTGACATCAAAGAGCAAAAGCTGTCCTAGCCTTGGAACTCATATGTTACTCGAGTCCCCTTTATCAGGAGAAAAGCAGCCCGTAAATAAATAAATGCATTGACAATCGGATTGCTGTTGCCTATGTTAAACAGGAGGACAAGCGAGGGGTGGGTCTTTTTTTTAATGTAGTTTTTGCAACATTTTGAACTGTTCTCCTTAGCCCTTCTGCCTAAAGGGGAAAGGAGCACATTTACGTTAACGTGTTAACATCTAGCGTGTTGTTTCCAAACTCTGCCATCCTGGCTAAGAATTCCTTCGGCCTCCACCCCCGTCTCTCTTCCCAAGATCTGAAGTGCCCTCTGGCGTTATCTGCCTGGTGACAAATAGGCAGCAGTGACCTCTGGCAGCGCCAGGAGCAAATCTGCGGCCTCGGGTGTTTCTCTTAATCCTCAGTTTTCCTCTGCCCCAAAGGGAGTGGTTGTTCCAGTGGGACTGGGGTTGTGTGGTTGTGTCCTAATTATTGCTACATTTGGTCTCCGGATCCTCAACCTGGGTTTTCTCGTTGTCTCTCTCTCTAGTTCACGGGTCAGAATCCTGCCAGTTCTTGGCACGGGTGTAAATGTTATCAATCCAAGCCCATTCTTTGTCTTGGATGACTGAAACGAGGAGAGCAGAGAAAAGAGTTGTTTTGGAATGGGTTTTGGGGGGGAGGCTCTCCTGCGTCCTCTAAGCTGACCTTCGGTTTCTCCACCCCATCAGTGCGCCCAGGAAACGGACTGGCAGTCGGCCAAATCCATCTACGAGTTCCATGCCATGGATATTGACGGGAATGATGTCTCTCTGGAGAAATACCGGCAAGTACCCGGGGGGGGGAGAGAGGAGGGGAGCAGCTATCCTAGTTGGGGTCATCCCTGCAGTACGGGCGCTCTTTGACTCCAGCGATCAGAAGGAAGGTTGGGTGGAGGACGTAAGTTTGAGTATGTGTAATAATGAGCTTGAAGTGGCAGAGCTGAAAAGGGACCCTGTGGGTCATCCAGTCCAGCCCCTGTTAAGGAGGCCTAGTGGAGGATTCGAACTCTTGATCTCTCCCCCTGAGCTCTCCAGCAGTTTTTCTACATTGCTCAGGATGGCCGCCGGTACGTGGTGCCCCCCCTCCCCTCGCTGGCTGTGCGTGACCGCCTCCCTGCTCTTCTCTCTTCCAGGGGCTACGTCTGCATCATCACCAACGTGGCCTCAAAGTGAGGCAAGACGGGCGTAAACTACACTCAGTTTGTTGACCTCTACGGCCGATACGCTGAGAGAGGTTTACGCATCCTGGCTTTCCCCTGCAACCAGTTTGGCAAACAGGTACGGGGGGGGGTGTCTGGGGAGGGGAACAGGAGCCAGCGCCTGCTCTCCCCCCAGAAAGGAAGGGCCGGGCCAAAACGTCTCCGCTCTGGGATCCCTTTCCAGAAACACGCTCTATTCGATGAACGGGGTTTGGAGCTAGAAAACCGAACCTCCGAAGTGGGGAAGTCACTTTAAAATTTAAAAACAAAAACTTTAAAAAGTTTTTAAACAAGTGATTTAACAGTTGTTTAGAATAATGACTGGGACACACAGAGGTCCTTAAGCGATGGATTGTTTACCGCTCCCTTGAAAATATTACAGAATAGGAATTAGAAACCTATTGCGTTACCAACACAGCATGGTTCCTTTGGTGTCAGTTTCCACCAGTGGACAGAGTGAGGGGGACCAGGACTCAGAGGGCTGTGTTTGAATCTCCGCTCGGCCGTGGAACCTCGCTGGCAATGGGGGATGGGGGTTTAACCCACTCCTTAAATACCCCACATCAGATATCTCGGAAGCCATGTTAGTGTTGTCGTTGGCTGGTTTTGCCTTGATCAGACCACAACACACATAAACGAAATCCCACAATTAAAACTAACACCGGCTGCTTACCTGGCGGCCGTTCTGCCAGTGGGTAAGATGTAGCAGGATTCGGGCCGCTGATTCTTTGAGTTTCCTGGGATTCAGAAGGTAGATGCTGAAAAAGGGGAAAGATGATAACTCAAGAAGGCAGGCTGTACCTTTTCTAACCCTAAAAGTAACTAAAACTGTTAGAGTTTCAATGCAAGATGGGCAACTGGATTGTGATCTAGTTATGTAGGATAAAGAATATGCTCATCGTCCTTTTGGAACAGCAGGACTGGAAAGGGAGCCTTTGCATCAACAAGAAGGCACTGTTGGGGCAGGGGGGAGGATGCTGGCCCCACACCTTTTGCCAACTGGGGTGCTTTGGCCCCCTCTTGGCTCCCGGCAGGGCCGGCCCTGGTGGGGGGGACTGCCTTTTGCTACCGAGTCTCTCTCTCTCTCCTTCCACCTCCAGGTAATTAATTAACTTTTTTTTTAAAAAAACAACAACACAGGAGCCCGGTACAAACGAGGAGATTAAAGCTTTTGCTGCCGGCTACGGGGTGAAGTTCGACATGTTCAGCAAGATCGACGTGAATGGGGACGGTGCCCACCCTCTCTGGAAGTGGATGAAGAGCCAGCCGAAAGGCAGGGGGACGATGGGAAAGTGAGTCCTCGCCAGTAAGGGGGAAAGGTTTGGCTAGTTCTTTTTAAAAAGCCGATGTATCCCCATTCGTGGTTCTCAACATGTTGGGGGTTGTGTTTTTATACTGAGTGTCCCCCTCCACTTCCCCGGGGCTGGAATGGCTGTGCATCGCCTCCGTGGGGCAACTTTGGAGCCCAGGCTTCCCGATCATCTCAGAAGTAGGTCACAAAAGGTTCACACTCACAAGCTCTCCTTTTGGGAAACCAAGCTTCTAGTCCTCAGTGTGGTAGGACAGAAGATGACACAGACTCTTGTTTTTTAAAGAGTTGTGGGGTGGTGGAAGCCAGCCTCAATTTTGTCTTTTTTTTTTCCTTCAGAGAGAGTGAGTGCAGGCTTGATCTGATTCAGGACCCACTGGTTTTTTTGTTCTTTCTGGCTGTCCACGGCATCAGCAAAGCTCTCCCCCAGCACCACATTTCAAACACATAATTCCCCCCCTCATCAGCTTTCTTCACTGTCCCGATTTCACACCAACACTTAACGATCAGAAATACGTGGAAGATCTTGGAAAGTTTTTCCTTTTATTTTTTTTTAACTTTATTTCTCTTCCACTTTTCTCCCCCCCCCCCCAAAAAAAGGACCAAAGGCTGCTTACAGACAATTACAAGGCCCAACTAAAAACCAAACTACAGTCCTAAAAGACAATTAAAACAGGGTTTGAAAAGCTGCTACTTAAAAGCAGTTTAAAGGCAGGCTTACCTCCCTGTGAGTAAAATGATGTGTAACATCCAGAACTATGGAGGAACAGGCAGGTAAAACGTTAAGAGATTGAATAGATTTTTAAACCTAAGCCTGGTTTTCTTCTAGATTGTTCATGTTTTTAAATGCTGACCTTGTTCAGTTATTAATCATAGATTTGCATCCCTTTGTCCTGTGAGCTGCCCGGAGTCCCCTATTTGGGATAAACCGTGGCAACATCAATAAAGCATATTTGGGAGAGGATGGCGTTTGGAAATGCTGAATCACAGTTCCAGGAAAACCAGACAGGGGATGACTGATCCCCTGTTAGGAAGGGCGAATCCTTGAGCTTTCTCCTCTTGAGACGGAAGGACCTCTGTGACTCAGCTGACCACCCCGTTTGGTTGGGCAGGAAATGTTCAGAACCGACCGCAAGGCTAGACCTGGCATTTATTATCATTTAATGGTTCAGAGGGGGCCCGAGAGACCCACGTCAGCCTGATGGACACTGCAGAGTTTTGACTTCTGCAATTTTCGTGGTTTCCTTCAGCACCTTGATGTCAAGAAACAGGCCATCAACAGCTTCACATATGAAGTCACAGGAGAACATGGATGCTTCAGGCACCGTTATCTTAGCCTAATCAGGAGAAATTTGCCTTTTTCTTCTCTTTCCCCCGCCAGCCAGTCCCATCCTCCCCAGCCCAGAGGGGGAAGGACGATAGGGGTTGTGGTAGCTTTGCCAAAACACTTCTGGAGTGATCTTGGATCCCTTTGATTGTAAAAGTAAAAGGTGCCTTATTTTCTCCCCTCTCTACAGCGCGATCAAGTGGAACTTCAGCAAGGTGAGTCTTTTTGGCTTCGGTCCTCCAGAGATCCCCTGAATAGTGACTTGTAAGAAAAACTGTTGGAAGTTATGATTCTCCTTCCTGTGTGCTGCTCCTGAACATGGAGGTTCTGTCTTGGGCCCAAATAGCCAAGTTTTAGTTCTTTTCCTGGGGGGGTCTGTCTGTGGATGGGGAAACGTTGGGTTTTCCTGACCCTTCTGGGATTTTTCCTGGCAGCCACGCTGTCCTCTTCCCCCCCCCCTTGTGAAGCCAAGGATTGGCCTTTTTAGCAGATGTTTTGTCCCTTTTACCCCCTCGGTTCTAGAAAGCTGAAATCCTCCTGTTTGGCTCACTGACCATCAGCCCCAATAAATAGGCTGGGATTTTGGCTTCCGCCCTGGGGTGTTGGCTCTTCCCTCCAGGAAATTCTCTTTTAGACTGGAAAGAAAATCCCCTCTTGTCTCTAAAGCAAAAACAAAACAAGAAACAAAAAAACAACCTGTTTTTTTAAATCCTTTCCTCCAAGGGGAAAACATTGCAGCTGCTTTAAGCTTTGTGTTGTCTTTTATATATTTTTTTCTTCCCCCTTCTGGCGTCATAGCCTGGAGGGGGTCACCATTTGGGACTACAACCTCCACCCTCCCCCAGTTGGGAATCTTGAAGGTTGTTGTCCCGAAAAAGTTCCTCCTCCATGGGGCCTCTGATACACACCCACAAACTCAACAGAAATGTGTTGGGGGATAGTTCTCCTTTGGTAGGAGAACCTCTCAAGTCTCAAAGCGAACTGAGGGGGGCGCTTTTTCCGGGAAGATGCAGACGTGCCTTTCGCTCACCTGTTCTCCCTCCTTCCCTTTTCCAGTTCCTCATCAACAAAGAGGGCCAAGTGGTGAAGAGGTACAGTCCCATGGATGACCCCTTCGTAAGTCCCCCCCCTTCTTTGACTTTCTTTTTTGCCTCTGGTGGGGAGTCCCCGAGAACGAGCAGCCCGACGCCGGGTGGGGAGGGAGACCCTTTGCCCTAACACCGCCAGCGTGGTGCTTTTCGTTTTCTTCCCAGGATCTGGCTTGGGGGGGGCATGCAAACCTAGAGTTTCGGAGAGGGGGGGCACGCAGGATGGGGTTGGGTTGATTGGATTTTAGTATCTCTTTCTAGATCGAAAGAGGGTATAGAAAGAGAAGTCAGTCTGTCGAGACCCCCAAAATGGCCACATTAGGCAGACAGCTGTTGTGTTGGCACGGCTGGGAGGGGGGGGCAACCTCACCGCCCCGTGTCTTTCCTCCACAGGTGATCGAGAAGGATCTGCCCACTTACCTGTAAGACGGACTCTCTGTGGCCAGGACGGATCCCGCACTCTGCCGCTCCTCCCGTTTTCCTGGGATGCTCAGCTCCAATGACGGCTTGCCTTGAAACCAAACCTTTCTTGGTGGGGCAGGCCCGAAAACCCAGCGCGAGCCTTGCAGGGAACCGGAAGCACTGGTGGCGGGGCTGTGGGGCACCCCTTCAGCTGCGTAGCAATAAAAAAAATCAGATATTTTTTCCTCCTCAAAAGTGTGGCCTGGACTCTGTGCTAGAGGGAAGTACAAGCGTGTGTATGGGGTTTTTGCGTAAATTATTCCAAGTGTTAAAAAGTGACCTAAAGAGGGCTGGTCTGCTTACCCCAGCGTTGTCTGCTCCGACTGACAGCAGATTCGAGGCTAATCCTAGCCCATAAAAAGCCTTTGTCCTCACCTGTGTGCTGAGCAATTGGGGGCTCTTTCGCACTCAGGGCTGAGCTAGTTCTGCCTCCCATAAATAAGACCCCAGCCCTCCCAGCAGTGATGTCAGTGAGATACGACCTATATACCTCACCCACTAGGCTCTTTTGCCTCAGGCTGATGGAAACTGTCTTCCCCCCCCCCCGGATCAGGACGACAGATCTCCTCTGGACTACATGAAAGGGCTGGTTTAGTCACCTTTTCCCGTGTCTCAAGGGGAGAAAGGGTGGTGCTTAAAGACTACAATTTCCATCATTCCCAGATCACAGCTCATGGTGGCTTCAGCAGACAGGGGTCCTGGCTCCGAGCCTTAGAACGAGCCCAAGTTTAAGTCAGGCGGTGGGGCTGTAATCCCCATTCTCCCTGGCTGCAGGGGCTAATGGGCTTTGGAGTCCAGAAACATATAAAAGGCCACAGGTTCTCAGCTGGTGGATTATACCAGCAGGACAGCGGCCTGGCCGCTCTTGGTTAAGGTTAAGGGGGATGGGACAAACTGCCCCCAACCCCACCTTGCCTCAGCCTCCCCACCGGATCCGTCCCGCATGTTTTCCTCCTGCCTCTGAGGGTGGTGTGCCAAAGGGAAGCCACCATTCCTTGGACTGGCAGTGTCGGATGCCAATGCAACCAGCCACCCAAGGGAGGTTGCTGAATTACGCACTTCCCTCTTTATCAGCCACTCTGAAGCTTATTATCTCTGGAATTGGTCGCTTGAGTTTCCGTCCTCCTCTTTCGGGGCCGTTGGGGCAGAATAGGGAGGTTGCTGAATTACGCACTTCCCTCTTTATCAGCCACTCTGAAGCTTATTATCTCTGGAATTGGTCACTTGAGTTTCTGTCCTCCTCTCTCGGGGCCGTTGGGGCAGAATTGAGATCCTTCTCTTCTGGAATCTTCTTTCCCAGCAAAGCCCCCCCCCCAAAAAAGGAGGGCAGGAAGGCAGTGGGCTTCCAACTCCGCTCTCTGCCTAAGCCCCTTTTGTTCCAAGATAGACTGCTCTGGAATCTGGAGGGGCCACATCACGGCCAGCAGCGCCTGATGAGATTTTACCCTGCTCTGCCACGGTTTGATCTAAGAATTCACCCCTTTTTACACCTGCATGGCCATCAAACCATCCCCCCAAAACCAGCGGAAGTTTTTCTCTCTGCCCCGAATCCCCCAAAGCCTCGTAGGGGAAGGGTGACCAGGGTCCCTTCCACCTGCCGTCTAAAGCCACGGCAGGATTATGACCTTCCACGTCCTGTTGAACAGAGGGGGATGCGGCCGTCCAAGGAAAACGGGGGGGGGAGGGCCTTGGAAGGCAGACGCGATCCTGCACCTTCACGGGGCCCTTTTTTTTGCTCCTTGCTTCCAATGTTTTAAAAACAAAGGTGGTGGTGATATCCTGCACCTTCACGGGGCCCTTTTTTTGCTCCTTGCTTCCAGTGTTTTAAAAACAAAGGCAGTGGTGATCGGGCAAGTGCAGATCAGAGAGATCAGAAATTGGGCCACGCTCCGTGGCCAGGCATGGTGAAGAGAGCGCCCCAGGACACAGCTTCGAATCTCACGGATCCTGACAGGCAGGATTGGTCCCTTGGGGAAATTTGCTTGGTGTGTGAGCATGGCAGCTACTTTTCCACTCCCCCCCTTCTCCGGTGTCTTGAACCCAGGATTCTGCCTCCAGGTTGGGCAATGAGGCCTGGGGGGCTCCCTAAAGGTCATCTAAAGATTTCCCCCCCCCCCTTCTCCGGTGTCTTGAACCCATGATTCTGCCTCCAGGGTCGGCAATGAGGCCTGGGGTGCTCCCTAAAGGTCATCTAAAGATTGAGACTAACCTTTACCAATCTAAGATGAAGGCTGCTAGTCCATCTTACTTCGCTGTCCGGATAAGCAAAGCTTCTAATCAGCAGGGGAAATTTTTTCAAAGGCTGCTAGTCCATCTTACTTCGCTGTCCAGATAAGCGAAGCTTCTAATCACCAGGCGGAATTTTTTCATATAATTTGCGATCTTTCCAGAACTGGTCATGGTGATTGGCCTCCCGCTAGCATCTCACCCGACCAATTTGCAGCCTTTTTAAAAATCAAAAGTGGATGCTATCCACCGGGATCTTGCCCGATGAGACTTAGCCACGTTCAGCCTGTGACATCAGACATGGTGGACAGAGTGCTTGACCACTGTCATGCCACCACCTCCTCCCTTGACCCTTGCCCGGCCTGGCTAATATAACATCTGAATGGGCTATGGCAATAATTAATGGGTCTCTCCAGGAGGGCAAGATTCCCTTTGCCCTCAAGGAGACACTCATTAGGCCCATTAGGAAGAAACTGAGCTTGGTGATGGATGATATTGCCAATTATAGGCTCGCCGCCAATGTTTCTTTCCTTAGCACAAGGTAGTTGAGAGGGTGGTCTCCGATCAGCTGCAGGCTCTTCTGGATGAAACCAAGGCCCTGGATCCGTTCCAGTTGGGCTTCAGGCCGTGCCACGGCATGGAAACAGCATTGGTTGCCCTGTTTGATGACCTGCGGAGGGAAGCCGATGGGCAAAATGTCTCTGCTGGTCCTCCTCGAGATCTCAGCCACTTTTCATACTGTCAGCTAGGCTCTCCAAGTTGGGAATCAGTGGCCTGGCTCCATTCCTTCTTGGAGGACCGTCCTCAGAGAGTTCAGCTTGGGGAGAATGTCTCGGCCCCGTGGAGCCCCAATTGTGGGGTCCCGTAGGGCTCAATTCTCTCTCCAGTGCTGTTTTAACATCTACATAGGAGGCTGCTGGGAGGGGTCATCAGGGATTGTGGGGTTTCGTGTCATCAATACGCTGATGACACCCAGCTCGACATCTCTTTTCCAACAACAGTGGATGCTGTCTCGTCCCTTGAGTGCTGCTGGGAGGCCATTTAGCAATGGATGCAGGGGAATGGACTGAATCCGGGCATGACGGAGGTCCTTCGGGTGGGCACCCAAGACATCAGTGGTTTGGGAAACTCCCTCTATTTTGGGGGGGGGGGGACTCTCACCACAAAGAGTGAGGTTTGCAGCTTGGAAATAGATCTGGACCTGGCGCTCACTATGGAGAGCCAGGTGTCGTCAGTGGTCCGCTCCACCAATTACCATCTGTGGCGGACTGCTCAGCTGCATCCCTATCTTGATGTGGGGGTGCTCACCACTTTGGTCCATGCGCTCGTATTCTCGATATTAGACTACTGTAATGCGCTCTACGTGGGGCTGATACAGAAACTTCAGATGGTACAAAATGTGGCAGCCAGACTTCTCATGGGAGTGAAAAGGTACCAACCTATTTCCCCCACGCTGGCCGCCCTTCTGTTTCCGCGTTGATTTCAAAGTTCTTATGATGACATATAAAGCCCTAAACGGTTTAGGACCTCAATATCTGGCAGAGCGCCTCCTCCCACCCAGTTCTGCCAAAGACACACATTCTAGCCAAGCCAGGCCGCTGAGAGGCCTAACGCCAAGGGAGGCCCGGAAGGAAAGAATAAGGAACTGGGCCTTCTCGGCAGTGGCCCCTCGCCTCTGGAACAACTTGCCCCTGGAGATCCACCTGGCTCCTTCTCTGGGTGTCTTTAGAAGTAAACTAAAGACATGGCTGTTTAGGCAGGCTTTTCCTCCTGCTGTATCTTAATATTTACATTTTCACATCTTGGACTTTTGCATGTTCATTGTTTCTATTGTTTTTAAATTTTGTAATGCCGCCCAGCGTAGATTATTTGTCTAGATCGGCGGGATATAAATCTAATAAAATAAATAAATCTAGACGGGTCCCAGAGAGCCCCGGCCCCTTTAGGCCCATGGCGCCCCATACGTACGTACAGACAGATAACACCCTCCATGTCATTGTGGTTCTCCATCTGGGCTGAAATGGCAATGTTTTAATCCTTCTCCATACAAATAGAAAATTCCAGAATAATTAACTCCAAAGGCACATTGTTTTTAAACATCTTTTCAACCCCCATAAGGAAAAAAAAGACGAACCCCCCCTCGTTTGCTTGGGGTTTTTTTTTTACATATATACAATTTCTAATCGTTATAAATAGGCTTAGAAAATAATAACAATGAGCAGAGGAAGATTAGAAAGTGCCAACGAGGGAAAGACAGACAGAAAGGGGGCCGGGGTTGGGAGGGGGTTGAAGAGGGAAGGATTGTGTGTGTGTTTTTTTCATTAAAAAATTTACATACAATCAGTAGAAACAAACAGTGTAATAATTTAGTTAAAAAGTAGAAGTTACAGATTATCATCGTTATTTGTCTTCCTGACATAATGCCGGGAGTGGGGGGGATCTAAAGAGAGGGAGGTTTTGGCGAGCGATGCCCTCCCCTCGCCTCCCGAGAAAGGAAATTGCACAGCTCGGTTTTGAATCGGACGACCCTCAAAGAGCCATGGGGAGGGTGTGGGGGGGCAGATAAAATAATTTCAACATCCGGAAGGAGCCATGGGCCAAAGGGGTTTCCAGTTGCATGCAAAACTTGGGGATCACAGCCTTCCTACGAGGCTGTTGCATAAGTTTTTTTAAATTTCTGCATAATTTTGGTGGCCAGGATGGGATACCCATGGGAGCTAAAAGCAACCTTTGGGACACTTGATTCTGATACACACACACACACACACACACACACAGGCATGCATATGTACACACTTCCTTTTTTTTCCCTGAGATTTTTGCACTCCCTGACTCACCGAACACGAGGGATCCTTCCCCTCATAAGGACTAGGAGCTTGGGCTTTGCTTCGAGGTCAGCTGCCGCGGGGGAGGGGGCAGAATGCGATTCTCAAAATCACCATCCCAACTTTTCCCAAACTGGTGCCTTCCTGATGGTCTCTCTCTCACCCTCCCCCTTATCCTGCACCACCACCACCCCAACAATGAGGAAGGATGGGCCCCAGAGTAGAAAACCGCTGGGAAGCACCAGGCCAGGCCCACAGCCCAAGGAGCCGGTGAACGTGTTCGGGGAAAGAGGTCCCCGGTTCATGAGATCCGACAGGTGTGCATGGCTCCAAACACTCGCTCCAAATTTCGGAATCGCCCCTCCGGGAAAGAGCTTTGTAAAATTCGCCTCGAGGTGGCAGGGAAGCCAGAGGAGCGAGAGGAGCTGCTGGGAAAGGGGGGGGTCCCACTTTCCACCCACGCCACCGAAGGAAGAGGTTGCTGCTGGGGGGCCCACAGGCCAGCGAGGGTCCTGCCCTCCGGCCCTCGGGACACCCCCGAAAGGCACCTGCTCCGGCTTCCTTCCACCTCGACAGGTTGGCGAGCCAGAATGTGCCAGTGGTGGTGGTGGTGGGGGGGTTCAAGGGTGCCAGGGTCCAAAAAAGGGGGTCCGACCCCAGCCTTCCCCCCCCGGGAGACAGTGGGGTTTGAGCCGGAGGGCATCACCCGGGTTTGGCCTTCCCTGAGGTCCGGAGGGAGATGGGGTGCAATGGGCCTGTAGAGCGCATAGAGGAGGGGAAAGGGGTGCCAGCAAAGGGGATGCCCTTTGGGAGCCCCACCATACCTTCTGGAAAAGAAAGGGTCTCTACCGGGACGTCCAGAGACACACTGGGGCTCAGGAGTCCCAGGTTCGAATCCTTGCTCGAAAACAGAAAAGTCAGGGGAGGGGAGGGGAGGGGGGACTGGTTAATGCCACTCCTTAAATGATCTCAGTTCCTCTGAAGGTAAGCCAGCTTCAATCGGACAGCACGCAACACACCCATACACACACACACACACATAAAAATAAGCAACCCCCCCCCATTTTTCCTGTCACGCATCCCAGTGTAAAGTTCCTAGGGCAGATTCACACGCACCCCACTTAACAAAGGGGTGCATGGAAAAACACAGTGGTAGGATAGGCTGAGCTTTAAAAAAACAACAGCCTCCAATACCCACCGGCCAGGATCCCAGAAAGAAAAAAAATGCCAGTTTTTACGCGATTATCATGCTTTGATCAGGGAAACAGAAGTGTTTGAAAAATTATCCACTTTGCACCAAACATCTGACAAGACGGTCGAGTTTCTGAAGTTTGCTCACACATCCCACCACCTATCACCCTGGCACGTGTCTCCCTGCCTCCATGAGGTCTAGAAACACAGGCATGCCTTTCACCTGACCTGCAGCACAGAGAGACCTATGGGCCCCTGAACGCTTCAGCTCCCCCCCCACCTCTGGGGCCAAAGGGGGAAAAAACACAGGAAACTGTGAGAAGTGTCCAGAAAACCTCTTGATTTTGGCTGCGATGGATCAGAAGGGCCTCCCGCACCCCTCTCCTGAGAAAATGGGATTTATTATTATTTTTAAAAAGGGATATAAAGATCTTAGCTTTTGAGATTTGTTAGTTCATAAAAGAGGAAGTGGGTAAGATTGGGCGGGATTAGCAAAGCGCCACCCCCATAAGGTGCCTGAGTGTCCCCCCCTCCCCAAAATCTTAGGCATGGCTGCAACCCCCTTCCCCCCCCCGCTGCTGGGGACCCCCCCTTGATACATCTCTCTCTCTCTCTCTCGAGTCATATAGACACAGATATAAAAATTTAGTAAAGATGTGACTGCCTATTCTATATAAATAAACTTTGCTTTGTTAAGTATACATTTTCTCTGTCCCATCCCTGTTTTCTTTTCTTTTTTCCTTTTAAAAAAAGACAGATGTGGTCCATTCCAAAGAGAGGGTTGAAAAACAAAACCCTCGAACACAGGATGCTTCCCCAGTTGGCCTTGCCAGCTCCCGCACAGCAGCGTTCCCGAGACCGGAAGCTCCTTCGCGAGGTTGTGAAAGAAGGCAGAGCGGGAAGGGGGGGGAATCGCATGAGGACCCCCACCCCAGGGCCACCCGACACCCCCTCCCGGACTCAGCTGGTGTTGTAATAGTTTGGAAACGGGCCACTGAACTGGATGACGCTCTGGCGCTCCCGGGCGGCGCTGGCACTCTCTTCCAGCCCCATGCCGAGCGAGCTCAGCATCATCTGCTCCAGGATCTCCTTGTAGTTGATGTCCTGGCTGGGCAAGGAGAAGCTATCTGGCAGGGGCGGCCCAGGCCCTGGCATCGGGGGCAAGGGTTCGTGGTGGGAGGGGGAGCCGAGGGCCAAGCTGCTGCCGCCCCCCAGAGCCGATGGGTTGAAGGGCGCGGGGAAGCTGAACGTCTGCGACGGATGCTCGGCCCACAGGTCCGGGAGCGCCTCGCTGAGCGGGCTGTAGGTCAGGTCCAGAATCTCCTCCGCTGGCGGGGGCAGCGAGGAAGGCAGGAGGGCTGGGCCCCCCGAGGTCTGGCCGAGGTCCCGTGGCTGAAGGGGGGGCGGGAAGGCCGGGGCGGGTGCCGGGCGGGGCTGGCTGCGCTTCTCTTTCACGTCCGCGTCCATCTGCTGGAGTTTGCTGAGCACCTGCTGGACGCAGGTCTCGGGGATCTTGATCCCTGTAGGAGGAGGAAAGGATGGGCAGAAGGAAGTGGGGGAAGGGCCCACCGTCACGAGGGTGTCACTGGGAGGAGGGGGGACGGCCCCAGGGGGAAGCCCACCCCCCCCCCGGCTCGGCAGGCTGACCACTGAAAGCAAACATTTGGCATGAGCTTGTGGGAGGATAAAAATCACTTCTTCTGATGTACCTCAAAACCGGGCGTAGAGTGCCAGAAAAGGATAAAGGAATGCCACCAGATTCAATGGCCTATTCCCAGGCGTATTTCTTAAGGTGAAAATGGAGCTTGGAGTGTATGTTTGTGTGTGTTGTGTGTCTGCGGTTAACTTCTAGGACATCCATTTTTCATTTTTCTGCCCTCCCGATGAGGATGCCTCAAGAAAGCAATCCTTCAATCCCGGACGCTCATGCCGAAGGTTTGATTTCAGTGGCCTACGGAAGGCATTGTATCTCCGGAACATTTGTGAGCGAGTGAAAGGATGACAGAAGACAGAAGCACACAGAGGTGGTGGTGGGGAAAAGCAGAAAGGCAAGATGGCAGGCGGGAGACCTGACACGAACGAGGTCCCGATGGCAGAATTCCGCTCCTCGGTGTGCAGAATTTTGATACCATTTTGGAGCTGATTCTACCCACCCACCCAGTCTGTTGGGGGGCTGTGTCCTCCCTATGCACACACGCACTGCCTCTAGCCTCTGGATCGGCTGCATGAGAACCGCCCCCCCCGGCACCCACAGTCCCCACCTGGCCAGGGTCTCCCCACCCACCACCGACGTGAGGCTCACCAACTTGCTTCTTCTTCTCCTTGGTCTTCAGGCGGACGATTTGCAGGTAGCTGGTGTTGGTGATGTCAGCCATGATGCCGGCGATCTGGCTCCAGACCCGCAGCAGTGACCCGCACAGCATGTAGTAGTGCCGCAGGCGGGTGCCTTGCGAGCACTCCTTCCCTTCCCGGACCAGTTTGCAGTGGCCGTTCCTTTTTGTTTTTGAAAGAAGAAGAAAAGGAGGCAAGGCTGAGCCGGCAAAGGGCGGCAGCTGGTATTCAGCTCCGTGCCAACGGGAGAGATGGTCAGGGCACCACCAGCCTCTCACGCCGAACGAGAGAGCGGGAACCTCCGGATTCTAGGGCTTTGAGTCCCCAAAACCAGAACATGCAACACGCTTGACAAAACAGCCGTGCACAATTCCTGCCCTTTGGCCTTTCAGGAGCCCGCCAGGCTCATGGATTTTTTCCTGTGTTTTGGAAGCCATGGCCGAACGCCTCCGCCCCTCCAGAAAAGGGCTCAAGACCTGCTTACTCCTCGTTCTCCCTCTGACGCCTCCTGCCATCCGTCCCCCCCCCCGCCACCCGAGTCAACTTACCACACGGCGTGGTTGCAATACTCCAGGGAGAAAGCGTAGCTGCTCTCCCAGTGCTCTTGGGCCTCTTCCGGCGACACCTGCGGGAAACACCGAGAACCGACATCAAGGCAGGCCCCTCTTTCCCCATTTAAAGACAGAGGGAGGTGGGGAGCAGGGGATCCGGCCCGGGGATCCTGGGGGGGCTCACCTTTCTGTACTTCCGGAGGAGGCTCTCCAAGCTCTCTGGCTGGCTGTGCTTGCCGATGTTGGGCTTATAGACGGTGAAATGATGCTTCCCATGGCTCTGATCCGCCAGCAGGCAGGTGTACTTGGTGCCTCGCACCTGGAAGGGGAGGGGGTGTCACAAGGCACACAATCTATTCGGGGGGGTGGCATGGTGGGGAGCCCATCCCCTCCGTGATGTTTCAGGCGAGGCAACGACGCCTGAGGCCCTCTCCGGCGGCTCGACAAGGATGGGCTTGGTTTTTCCTCCTCCCTCCCCATCCCATCAGCCTTTCGTGTCGGGTCTTCTGGGGGCCGTGAAGCCCAGAACCCAAGGCTCCGATGTTTTTTTCCTTAATCTACTTTGATAACCATCCTCATTCTCTCCCCCTCGGGGTATACTCTTTACGCAGACTTACAGGCTCAGACAAAGACGGGGCGCTCTGAGAATGAGGTCAAGGGCCCGTTTTCGGATCGGCCAGCAACCCGAGGGCACTTGGCCCAAAAGGGGGTGAGAAGCGGCGGGCCGGGCCTTAAGAGGCGACTTGGCAGGCTGCATTCATCTTTTTTTTAATGATTCCCTTTTTTACTTTTAAAAATACAGTAAGACCTCTGTAATCCACCGGATGCGGGGTTCCTATATCCACGGTTTTGGGTCTCCACGGCACTTTGTGGAATGAATCCCCTACACCCTCAAAGTTCCTCTCCTACGCTAGGAATGCCCTGTAAAAGGCGCTCCAATTTATTTTTTGCCTGCTAAAAGATGGAGTTACCTGTGAATTAAAAAAAAATTAAAAAGGGGGAAAAGCCCTTCTCCTGCCCTCTAGTGGCCAAAACAAAAATATTTTTTTAAAAAAAACACACATACAGTACATATTTTTGGTGGGGTACATGGAGGTCCAATGATGCCAGGTGTGTGTGTCTTGAAACACCACAGAATTATCCCCTCCTGCCTGCGGCACCCTCCTCCGCTCACCTTATGGGAGAGGTAGAAGCCGTCGTGCGGGCCCGTCAGGTGGAGCGACTTCTCAGCAGCCTCCTCCCACTTCATGCCTCGGTCGACGCTGATCTGTTGCCGCCCTGGTGGCGCCAGGGGGGGGGGATGGAAGGGGGCAGAGGGAGAACGCTTTTGTGAGCATTAAAGAGGGTCCTCAACTCGGAGACCTAGAGAGCCGCCCCAGCAAGATGCAAAAACACCCCCTCTTCTTCCAGGAATTTTCCTTGAGGATTAGACCCTTATTTTCCTGCTTGCTTGGTGAATATCCTACGGGGTCAGCTATGGACAACTGCTGCCCCGTGTAGATGGGGGGGGGACGGGGACGGACAGACACCCTGCTTGGGTCCCTCAGATTACTGTTCCCAGCAGCCCTGGGCAGCAAAACCTATAGCCTGGGGTCCAGACCCATCTGGAGGGCCACAGACACCCCTCCCCCCGATTCTTCCCATTCTTACCTTGTAAAAGACCACCTGCCCATCCTGCGGGTGACCGGGCGTCAGGAAAACCTCTTTGCTCTCTTCGTAGATCTCATCAATGCCGGGGGCAAGGTCTGTGGGGGTGGTGGTGAGAAAGACGACCCCATGTCAGCAGGGTCGGGGCGAGGAAGCCTGCCTCCCCCCCCCCCAGCAAAAAAGGCACACATTCTGAATGTTCTTGACAGTTGGCAGGCCCAGGCGTCACCCTCGGGAAAAGGCTAGCAGGAAGCCCCTTCCATGGGGGGGGCACCCAATAGAAGGGCGGGTCATGCCCGAGGGGCCACGGGCACCCTCCCTGGGAGGCAGCCGCTGTTGGGGAGCCTCTGTCTGGGCTTCATCTCGTTAAAGGGTGCGCCCATCTTCCCCCCGCAAAGCCCCCAGGCCCGCTGCTCACCTAGAATCCCCATGTCGTATTTGCCGTCCTTCTTGTCCCGGTTGATCAGGTAGTCGAAAGTGTCGCTGAAATATTGGAAGAGCAGGTTCTGCTGGTGGACCTCCAGACCCAGGATACGGTTCAGGAACTTGGTGATGGAACAATCTGGGGGGGGGGGATGAAAAAGAGGAGACCATCCATCCGGTCAAGTGCTCCTCACCGGCCGGCTTGTCCCACCACCACCCCTTCACCCAAGACGACCACTTCTTTTTTTTCTCAATTGACGTTAGGGTCAAATGATAGAAAACTACACAACCAAAACGAAGGGTGCAGAGAAAAATAGAATTTTACACTGGGTTGGATTGCATTTTATTGGTTAATAAGGAGTATTTTATTGTGGACGTGAGCTTCTGTGCTCTCTTTGGAGAAAAGCCCAGCAGATTGATGAAAATTTATTGATCTAAAATACAGTGGTGCCCTGCTAGACTATGACTTCGCAAAACGACGAATCCGCATGATTTTTTGTGATTGCTATAGCGCTTCGCAAAACAATCTTTCCTATGGTGATTTTCGCTGGACGATGTTTAGATCCATGCTTCGCAAGACTTTTTTTCCCCTCGGCACCGCTGCTTCGCAAGACAACGATTTTCACATATAGGTCCGCGACTCGCAAAACAGGTGTTTTCAGGACCAATGTTTTGCAAGTTCTAACAGCTGATCGGCGCTTCACAAAATGGCTTCCCTATGGGCGATTTTCGCAAAACGACGACTATTTTCCCCACTGGAACGCATTAAACGCATTCCAATGGGAAAACACTTTTCACAAGACGATGTTTTCACAAGACAGCGATTTCAATGGAACAGATTAGCATCGTCTTGCGGGGCACCACTATATTATCACCTCACCTTTCCTCCTAAAAAAGGGAGGGGGCAAGGTGGCTTACATAATTAAAACCAAGCTACAGAAAGTCAAAACACGTCAGTGACGCAAAGGTTAAAGAAGACTAAACCTTTGAGGAGGAAAGGTGGCATAGAACTAAATTAAATACAGTACAAATAAATAAATAATACTGTGGTGCCTCACAAGACGAATGTAATTCGTTCCGCGAGAAACGCTGTCTTGCGAAAAAACAGTCTTGCGAAAAAGCAGTCTTGCGAAAAGCCGCTTCCCGTGAGGCGTTCGTCTTGCGAGGCACCAGTGTATCCCTGTATATTTAGGTAAAAGCTTTTCCCCCCAAGCAAAGTGGGGGAAAATATTGACGAAAGGGGATTAAATGGCCTAGAAAGCCTCCATGTGCCATTGCTGTCTATCTGATCCATCTTCCACAGTTGAGAAGATCGGTAAGGTCCCAAGTCTGTCGACGTAAAGACCCTGGGCGTTTCTCCATCCCATGTTATGACCCCAAAGGTTGAATCCTGCCACGAGGCCACGGAGAATCCACTGCACAAAGTCTCGAAGACACAGGGGACAGACTTTGGGATGCTTTGGGGGGGTTCGTTCCGCCCGGGACCCCGACTGCCAGCTGCGGGCCATGCTGGTGCCCCCCCCCCAAAATCAGCTTGACCCAGCGGATGCCGGGCGAGGCAGAGCCACCTCTTTGGGCAGGCTTTGGGCAATCAGAACGAACAAGTCCCTGAATCTCAGTTTTCCTTTATAAACTTCAGATTGTTTTCGACATTCTGTGTCCTTTTCATCCTTCAAGGTGTTTCAATCAGTTTTCTAGTTTTTTAATGTACAACGTATCGTGTTTTTTTTTTTTAAAAAAAATCTGTTTTTCTTCCAATCCCGGGAAAGGCGGCCCCGAAATAAGATTGACGGATAAAATAAATCCGAGGGACCTGGGCGGTGGCGAGGCCTCAGAGAAAGCAAAGGCACCCTTGCCCGCCCAGAGGCCCAAGGACCTCAGGTTTTCCTGACCGGAGGGGGGATTGCATACCTTTCTCGATGGTCACGTTGCCGAAGCGCATCTCCTTGCAGCAGATCCCCACCGAGAGAAGGTTTTGCTTCATTTCTGGAAAGGTCCCGATCCAGCGGGGGCAGAGGGAGAAGAAAAGGGAAGAGTGTCAGGTTTCGGAGGCACCGCAGAAATGCCCATGGAGTCTCCTTCCTGGCCTGGCGCTCGGCCCCCCCCCATGTCTCCTGCCACCACCGTCTCCCCGCTTTCTGGTTCACGCCCGCCTTCCCCGCTTCCTGCTTTTCCGTCCGATCCGCTTACCCTGGAAGAAGGCCGCGTCCCCTTTCTCGTAACCCTTGGGCACCGGGACCCGGTTCTCCATCTGGCCAAGGATGGTGAGCAGGATTTTCTCCAGGGCTCGGGACCCGTACTAGACAGCGCGGTTTTGGGGAAGGGAGAGAAGACAGGCACAGAGTGAGCCCACTCGCAACCCCCCCAGGCCGGCCCGAGAAAACCCCGCATCCTGTTGGGTGGGGTGCCAAGCCGGAGGACGATGGGAAAAGCAGGTGGTTGTCCTCAGCACCCAACCGCTGTCAAACGGGGTACTCTGTGACTCAAGGTGGCCTGATCCAGTCAGCAGGTGACCCCCCCAAAACCTCCCCCCCCCAGCGGTGATGAGTGGATTTCCTGCCCTGGGAAGGGGAAGTTCCCCAAAAAGCCTTGGATATGAAGGCTTTGAAAACGGGCAACAGCCATATGGGAAATATGGGAAAACCTCCAAAAGGTCTCCCCTTCCCCGCCCCCACCCCTGGGCCAAGGCCTCACCTTGTTCTCAAAGTTGTATTTGCTGAGATCCCTGGACTCCGTGGCTCTCCTGTCCCCGTGGGTCAAGGCACCCTGGTGCGAGGAGGGAGAAGGGAGGGGAGACACAGGGAGAGCATCTTTTTAAGGGTTTGCAACAGCCGAGCGAGATCCTGCCCGTGTGGGGACCCCTGCAGCCACCGGGACGTCCGCTTGCCCAGCCCTCCCTGTTCTGTGACGCGGTCGGCTTTGATGGCTTTCCCACTTCTCTCTGGATCTTAATGGTTTTTGCAGCGGGACGGGTGCTGTGAGTTTGGACTCGTTGACTTTGTCCAGCTAGACGTGGTTTGACGTGTTTTCAAGACATCTACCAGCCGCCTTGAGCTGGCTGGAGAGCTCAGGGGTTTAGGTCTCTGGTTGAGGAACCGGAGGCTGGGAGTTCAAATCCCACCACCACCACCACTGGGCCCTCCTAGGAGAAAAGCCAGCCGGGGTAGCCTTGGGGCCAGCTGCACAGCAGTTCCTTGGCAAACCATGGAAGAAGGGAAGGATTCTGAGGATTGTTTCCTTGGAAAACCCCAGAAAGGGTGGCCACAACACAGAACCGATTCAATGGCCCACCATGGTTATTGATTAAGCTGCTCTCTTTGAGCTAAAAAGGGGGGCCACCGTTGTGGGTAAAGAAAGGCAGAAATAAACATTTTCCTCCCGGCACCCGACCCGTTTCTGTTTTCCCACCAACACAACCACCCCATGGAAGCCACAAGCCACCTGCCCTAGACTCCACCACGGATCGCTCACAGGCGGTGCGGGATTCGAAAAACGGCTCGGGATGGAGAAGAGAACGGACACTCACGAGGCTCTCCAGGCGCTTGGCCACGATGGAAGCGAACCGGCGCTCTCCAGCCAACTCAGAGATGAGGAAGATGTACTCCGGCGCATGGACCTGGTTGGAACGGTGCGTCCGACCTTGGGGGTGGGGCGAAAAGGCAAATTTTTGTGGCAGGAAAAAAAACCCGGGGGTTGTTTCTCCGGATCCGGTGTGACTACAACTTCCATCGTGCCTCACCACTGGCTACCCTGACTGGGGCTGATGGGAACTGGAAGCATCTTGAAGGAAACCGCCTCCACCCCTGTGACTTGGGGGAGGAGCTTCAGCTTGTGGTTCGTTTTCCTCCCATTGCGATTCCTCTCAGAGGGAGACATCTGGATCTATCTCACCGCAATAACTATGACCCCCCCCCCGGTCGCTTCTGCCTTATAGACTGGAGGCAGTTTCTCTCTGGGACAGTGCCGCTGGCCCAAGGCCCCCCAGGCTGGCTCTTCTCCCTGGGGAGGCACGTGGTGGGGGATTCAAACTCCCAACTTCTGGCGCTGCAGCCAGAGACCTGAACGCCCGTGAGCTCTTCAGCCAGCCTGGCCCCCGCTCAGCTCCACATTTTATCAGAGGGTTAAAAATCTGAAAAATCTGCATCTAAGCAGCTTGTGTTTCATGCAAAGGTCATAAATCTGTGCCTGATTTATACTAATTTCTCTCTCTGTTCTTTACCGCTTCCAGACCTGGGCAGACATAAGAAGGGGATTACTTATTTACTTATTATGATATGTGAATTTAAAGGCCGTCTTTCTCCTAAAAGATCTATAGCGGTTTCTAGCATGAAAACATGCAAAGTTAATAAAGCTAAAATAATAAATTATTACTTTTTTAGAAAAAGCATTACACAAAGATAGTATTAAATATTGTAAGGAAAAGCCATATTGAAAAGCAACAGCCCCTTTAGACTTCCGAGAGATTCACTTGCATTACATCAAGTAATGCAAGTGATAAGAACAAGGAAAAAAAGTAAATTTTTTTTAAAGTAAGGAAGTGGGAAATGGCTGAATTTTACCCTTAACAACACACTGTATGCTATTTTTATTATATTTTATTACATAGATACATACATACACGTGTATTTTTATAACTTTTTAAAAAGAACTTTTTAAAAACATGTATACCCACAAACATATATCTATATATTAAGAAGAGTTACCAAATTGCTGAATTGCTCGGTCTGCGCTCCAGGGCAATTCCAGAGTCATGTGGACGCGCCGTTTTTGGTTTTTTACCCGTCTGTCCGCTTGGAGAGAAATCCCTGAGCTAGAGGCCTCGGAGATTATTGCTACGAGCTGGAGAAGAGGAAGAAAAAGAAAGCACATGAGAGCAGCAGCAGAAATGGCCACACGACAAACAGTTCTTCTGGGAAAAGTCGGGGAGAATTCCAAGTCTTTTCACGATTCCAGTGGGTTTTGATAAGTGCCTTTCCTCCCATGGCCTCAAGGTGGCGCCCATGGATCTCCCTCGCCTCCTACTTTTGCCTCATAACAAACCTATGAGGTAGACCACTCTGTGGGAGAAAGCAAGGAGGGGAGAGAGAGGCAAGCAGCCCAACCGGGACATTTCATGGTTTTGCGAGGCTTCAGTCTAAGGCTCTAACCAGTAAACAACATAGCTCTCCATTTCTGAGGTTCTCCTCCTTTTCTGGGCAAGAGGGGACCAAAGAGACACTTAATAGACTCCAAGATGAAGTAAGAAGAGTAATTCAGTAAACCAGGGGTGATTTGGACACAGGACACATTTCCTGTGACTGTGGAGAAACTCAATCTGTACAGCATTCCTGTCCATGCAATTCATGCCCCACCACGTGCACGAAAGAAGATCCAGCCAACAGCTGAGACCACGCGATCGAAGTTGCCCACTGCGGGTCAAAAACCACTTTCATGATCTGAACATTTGAAGTGGTTTTCCTTTCCACCTCTCTGGCACAGATGGCCCAGAATATTAAAACTGTACAAGGCTCAGATAGGAAGAAAAAAAAGATCTGGACAACCCATGTAGACCAGGAAGGGCTGGGCGGATGAGCACCCCTTCGAAACACATCCTCCAAAATCTGGCCTTTCCCCCCCTTAAGGAATAAGGAAACATGTCTAAATCCTCCAGGGAAAAAGTAATGCCTTACTGTTGTTTGGAAAGATTGCGGCTGCCACCTCCTCCTCCTCTCTCTGAACAGGAATGGGTTTCAGGGATTGGTGCCACTTTGGCCATGTTAACTGCAACCCATAAACCCCATTCACGACCTCCTTTCTTGACCAATTCCTGTTGTTGTTGTTCTGTCGCACCCAGCGCACAGTGACCCCTGTGAACGGGCAACCTCCAAAACGGCCCTGCTCAGCTCTTGCAAAGTCAAGGGCCATGGTTTCCTGGAGGAGTGGGTCTGTCCCATGGTGTCTTCCTCTTCTCGTGCTGCCCTTCCACACCCTAAAGCCCCCCCTCCCCAGTCTGCTCACCTTTTCTCCGTTCATGAACCTCTCTTTCTCCTTGAGGTTCACGTTGTCGATGGAAAGGCCGGGCTCGGCCCTCGTCTCGAACACCACGGAGCCATCGGGCTGGCGCACCACACGCCCTTTCCGACCGGTCATCTGGGCAGGAAGGAAGAAGGGGGCGAGTGAGCACCATGGAAGAAAACCCTCTTGCCTGCACCCACCACCACCCCTGGCCCCCAGCCACTCTCCCAGGACCGGGAAATGGAGAAAACTCAATCCGAGTTGCAATTCAGGTATCGGGGAGGGAGAGTCCAGACTCCTGGCCTTGAGTTTCTAAGCTTCAGGAGCTTGGGATTCTTTATTGTTGTTTTTCCTCCTTGGGGACTACAGATCCCAGAATCTCTTTGGGAGCACAACAGGGGATTCTGGAAGTTGTAGTCCAACAGATCCAAACTTTCTCAAGCCCTGGGATTGGATTCCGGAAGGCGTGGGCCACAGGGCGAATGTGCGCCACCAGATTCTCTGCGGCTGCCTTCCTTGCTTGCGGATGAGCCAAGATCCACACGACGCCTTCCTCTCATCTCCATCCCCCGGCTGAGGACGAGGAGAAGGAGGACCACCCGCTCCACCAGGCTTTGCCTCTCTCCACCTCTCTGCCAAGCCCCTCGACCACCCTGCCTGCTTGTGCCCGGGTTGCTCCCTTTTCCTCTTCCCACCGCATCCCCCTTTCCTTGCATGTTGTCCTTGGTGGCCCTAGAATGAGGGAGAGTGGAGGCCCAGCCTCAAAAAACGGGGCATGAAGACAGCCAAGGAATTAATTCACTAACAAACGGCTCACCTCTGCCACGTATTCCGGGCCGCCGAAATGATCTATCAGTTCATCTAAGGTATTAAGAGGTAGTTCCTTGCCCAGGGCCTTGACTTTCGAGAGGAGGTCCTGCTTCAACATCTCCACGTGCTCGAGGGCCCCGGAGCCCTGCGGCGCCCACAGGCTGCCTGTACAGAAAGGGGCAACGGATGGGAGCAGGGAAATTAAAGCCTTTGTGGTTATTGGAGCGCTAGACGCCGGCAAAATAGGAATCACAAAGTAAAAAAAGGAAAGGAAAAAATAAAGGAAAAAAAATGGGGATGACGCCTGAAATGGGTTGGTCACCTTCTTAGAAACGGGATGCTTCTCCCTTTGATAACACGGGGGGTGGGTGGGTAAGAATCTATGTTCAGAATCTGTAACTTTTAGCCCCCCCGAACGCCTGGCCAGGTGGCGTAAAAGGTACCCTCATATTGGGGGGGAACAGAGGCGTGAGCTCTCCTCCCCTCTCCCTGCCCCATGAGCCGGGCATCGCAATGACCTCCCCTGGCCCAGCCCCCACATACAGCCCCCAGGCCAGGGGAGGTGGCCGGCCGGCCCTCCGCCATCGGACCAGGGGCCACAGCACCGGCGCCAGTAAGTCCAACACACATACATGCATGCGCTTTCCCGGGCCACTTCTGGCAGATGAGAAGCTGCACAGCGAATCTTTATTGCTGTGAAATGTTTAGTTAATGAAAAAATACTTGTGTATCACCCAAACTCATGCAATTCCAGGGAGAAGGGGATTGAGGCCATGAGCCCATTACTGACCGACACCAGCGTTCAGTCACACAACATGCGCGGTTGCGGTGACCGGCTACTAGTTGAGGGAGTCGTCGCTCTCATTCCTGCCCACGCGCCCGCTGGGTGACTTGGCACGAGGCAGGAAGCTCAAGCAGCAACTTCTTAACTGGCGGCCACACTCTGTCACAGTCAATGGGGAGAAAGAATTCGGTTCTGGCCACGAGCACGAGGGAGGGACCTTAGGGACACTAGCCGCCTGCTTCCTATAGCACTGGACTCTCGTTTCATCTCACCCTCTCCTGCCATGCCAGCACCACCACATGCTCAGGGTCATGCTTGGGAAGCGGCGGCGGCCGCCTGAGCAACCCTCACCTCGCTCTTCGCCCAGGAAGCAGCCGTTGGCGGGGCTGCGCTCGACCAAAACCACGTCGTCATTCTCAAATAGAGACTCGGGAGAGGAGTTGAAGTCGCTCTCCAGGCCCGGCTCAGAGTCGGAGCTGCTGTCGGAGCTGATCTTGATGACAGCGCCGCTGAAGAAGGTGTTGCCAAAGTCGCAGGTGGGCTTAGCAGCTTTGGGGCCGCCACGGACTCTCTGTTTCCCTGCAAGGCCGAGGGGGAAGGCCATTAGAAGGGCTGGCAAAGTCCAGATGGGGGCCTGACGAGGGTCCGTTCGAGACGCCCACCACCACCAGGCTCCGTCCCAACTGGAACCACTTCCCGCATCGTCTGCTACTCTCAGGGAAGAAGTAGAGTCTACCTAAGGCTGAAGCTTGGCGGGGGTGGAGGGAAGACAGGGGAGTAGAGAGAAAAAAAACCCCTCCACATCCTCATATGGCACAGTCTTGATCTGAATCATCCCTCTCTCCCCTATGTTTCTTTTCAAACCAGGTTATAAACAACAACCCATGACAAATATCACACAGCATCATCATCCTATAGAACAGCAGAGCTGGAAGGTGCTCTGTGGATCATCGAACCCAGCCCCGGCCATGGTTCTGTCCACTGAATCAACCGCTGTAAGTTCAGCAGACTCTTCTGTCAAGTATCCCCCCTGGTCAGAACTAGATATTTAAGCCTCAAGAGGTAAAAGCTGTGGTATAGCACAGTAACAGTGGTTTAGTCGATAAATCAAATTAATCCATGCGGGAAGAAATGAGAGGAGGAAACAAGAGAGAAAAGAGGAAACAAGAGAGAAAGGAGGAAACAAGAGAGAAAAGAGGAAACAAGAGAGAAAGCAAAAGACTAGGCCTGCTGTATTATTATTATTATTTATTATTATTTAAAATATTCTTACACCACCTTTCTCCTTAAAAAGGACCCAAGCGGTTTACATCATTAAAATACAATAGAAGAACAAGATAGTTGAAAAGGTGAGGACCCCACCTTTGGGAAGGGAATGGCCCAGGAAAAATAAAAATGAAAGCCAGATGGAGCTGCAAAAGGCAAGTGGCGGAGAGGAAGGTGGGGGAGACAGGAAGGGAAAAGTTGAGGAGCAGGAAAGGGACGTCAAACTGCCACCCCCCCCCCAAGAAGGGTCTTGAGGAACTAGGATTTGGGGGGGCAGGAAGGGGGGGAAGAAGGGTCTTACGTTTTCTTTTAATGCCAGTTCCTCTCTCTCTTTTTCTTTTGGTTGAAGGGAAGTGCTTCTGAATTAGGGAGAGGAAGACGCCTCTGAAAGTTAAGATGGAAATGATTTTATTCCCGCTGTCCGGAGAGCGAATTCTTGCGAACCGCATTTTTTTTAAAGTGAAGCTACCAGAAGAGAAAAGGAAAGAAAAGACCAACCCAAAACAGTGAAGCAGAATAATCTCTTCAGCCCTTGCCCTGGGCAAGCACGTTCTGTGACATGAAAGCAGCTGAGCCAATCGGGCGATGCCTGGCGGGTACAAACCCCCTTGGCTAAGCTGCTGTGATGTCACAGCATGTTTGCCTAGGGTCAGGGAACGGGGGCGGGGAAATGGGGGCCTAGCACCAGGGTTTGCTTGCTGGGAGGGAGGCGAGGGAAGAGGGCTTGAACCCTACAGAGGACCCAGAAAAAGGAAGAATGGGCTCAGAAGGATGGGAGGCCCACGGGAGTGGGGCCAGAAAAGGGGAGCTGGCAAACTTTGATGGGGACGTGGGGGTGGCGACCTCTGAAAGGTCCTGCGCTTCACAACCAGGCTCAGGTTTTGCAAGTTCCAGGCTGTGGCTTCCATGGTGGAGCCAACCCGTCTCGTCTCCACTTGTCCTCCGTCCCTTCTGCTTTTGTCAGCATGGCCATCTTGCTCGGCTTCTGATGGGGGGCGTTGTATGGGGGGAGGAGGAGGAGGAGGAGGAGGGAAGGAGGCCCACGAGAACCAAAGCCATTTCCCACCCCGGGGTGGGGGGGGGGAGAACTTTGGCCCTCCTGCTGTCCAGGCCCAGAATTCCCACCAGCCTCCCGGCATGCTGTGGGTCTCATGGTCTGGTTGCCAGGAGAGGGAGAGAGAAAAAAGCCAGGTTGCGCATCAAACCCAGCTCCTCCCCCCCGCCTGGACTACAAATCCCACAATCCATGCCAGGGAGTATGGGAGTGGCCGTTCAACACCAGCCACATCGCCCCAGTGTATGACTCCCACAGATGTAGCTTTGTTGGGGGGGCGGGGGGGGGGGAGAAAGACGCATTGGGTGGGTGGGTGGCATGGATGCAGAGGAGGGGAGAAAATACAGGGATGGGATGGTGTGGGTCTCCGATTCTCCCCCCAGCCCCCCACATCACTTCTGGGTGGGGGGAAACCAAGAACGCCCAGTGGTTGGGATGAGCAAAGCCACGTGTGCACAAAACTGGATGGTGACTGAAAGGGGGAAAAAAGGACTTTCAAAGACATAAAGAAATGAGAAAGGTAGAACGGGTGGATTTATGCACCCGACCCAGCGTGGGTTTCGTTCGTTGTTGTTTAAAACACGACGGGACGAGGAGGAGTCCAGGACACCAAAATAACCATTTTCGCCTCAGAAAAGCCCCGATTTGGTAACCCAGGACCACGGACGTGGGGCTGGGGAGAGGAACCTCATGCAAAGCTGAGCGCCTTGATGGGGAGATTCAGGGTGGGGTGGGGTGGGGGGTGTCGGACAGGCAGGACTCACTCGGCGGCCGAAACGAAGCAGTTCAGCCGGCCCTCGTTCTCGTCCAGGACTTCCCGGGTCCGGGCTTCGCCAGTGGACTGCAAGCCGATCACGACGCACTGTGGAAGAGGGAGAAGGGAAGTCAAGGGGATGGCCAGAGAAGAGGGGAGCCCGGGGGGGGGGAGTGAAGCGTTCCTTGAAAATCGCCCTCCCCCTTTTTTTAAAAAATGATGATGAAAACCAGAACTCTGGGCTTTTCAATGAGCGCTCAGATTCTTAATTCGTTCTGTATTCTGGATGGCTTGGGCTTCATCACCCCTCAGCCTCAGAGTCAGCGTGACTCATGCTGAGGTGTGATGGGTCTTGTAGTCACTCACTCACACACACACACACACACACCACCGCTTTCCATCAGCATCAGCCTTTCCACACCCACACAGTAGGGCCAGAGAAGCAGCCCGGGCAGGACATCCATGGTGGTTTCTTCACCCTTGCTGGATTCCGTCCGGGTGGGAGGAGAAGGCCGCTGCTGAGCGCATACAGCCCCCCAAGTTTGGCACGCCGCCTCACCCCACCCGCAGGTCTCCCCAGGCACAGCCCTGGGCGCGTCCGAGTTTACCTTGTCTTTGCTCAGCTCCTCCTTGGCCAGCTCGACCAGGCGCCGGACTTTGGCGGCGATGCAGAGGTACTTGAAGAAGCGCTGGTGGGCCGACCAGAACTGGCCCCACAGGGACTTGCGAGACTCTAAGCCCATCCGATCGGCCGCTTGTTGGAAAACCACGAGGGCTTCAGCCCACTGCAGACGGGGGGAAAAGAAGCAAGCCGGTGACCCTTGGCTTCGGACGGCCACAGAGGTGGCCTTCGATTGAGAACCACCACATTTTCCGGTCACGGTCAGCAACTCTGGCCCTCTCTGTGTTTCTGGCCACTAATTCTACCTCCATTCATTATATCTACGCCAGTCACTCTTTCTCACTCTGATCTACCGACATGCCGGGTTCTTGCGAGGATAAAGTGCTGCAGGGGGCGTCACACACCTGCCATCTTGTCAACAGATGTGATTCTCCTTGGAAGAAGCTCCTCTCCCTTCGGCCTGCAGCCAAGTTGCCCCATACCCTCAGAGGCTGTTTTTTTTTCCTTACACCATCAGGAAATTTTAAGGGAGTATTGGGGACACAGAAGCGGGCCGGATAGCTCACTGGCTTAGGTCTCCGGCTATGGAGTCAGAAGCTGGGAGTTCGAATCCCATACGGTGTGCCTCCAGGGAGAAGAGCCAGCCTGGGTAGCCTTGGGCCAACGGCACCGTCCCAGGAGAAGGGAAGGGGGAAACCCCTTTTGAGGACTCTCACCACCAGTCAGAATTAATTTGAAGGCACATGATTACTATCAGGACACAGAAACCTCCAAGGGGGGTGGATCTGCAGGTTGCATGAGATTTCTAACTCACGCTATTCCCAAAACCTGATTTAGAACCATGAGGACTAGAAACTTGATTGATCTTTAGTGAAAGGGCCAGCTTAGTGGCGGAGAACACAGCTTTTCATGGGGATATTTCAATCCAAGAAGCATTCACTTGAGTGAATCTCAGGTGCTGGGAGATACTCTCCTTACAGCACCCTAAAGAACTGCTACCAGTTAAAAGCAGGGTCGCTAAAATGCCCATGCGGCACAGAACCGGGGCAGGCAGCTTCTTTCGCCCATCCAACCTCATCCGGTTCATCATACGCCAAAAAGCCAAGATGGGACCCGCAACTAGAAAGACATGGGTTACGGAAGGCCAAAGACCCCCGGAGGGCAGAAGAAGGCTCGAACGGGAACTCCAAACTGCGCAGGACCCAAGTGGCAAAGCTGTCCCGGTCGGGAGGCACAACAAACACTGGGGCTTACCAGCTGAGCGGCCTTATTGTAGACCAGCTTATATTCCGGGTCCAGCGGAATCTCTTCGATCCGGAAAGTGACTCCGGAAAAGCTGAGCTGCCGGGCGATGTACATCCCGCTCACCTTCATGTCCATGGCGACAATTTCCATTGCACCCACACCCCTGGAAGGCAGGAACAGGAGAGGCGGGTGAGAATGACGAGCGGGGGCCCAAAATGTGGAACCAGATGCTTCCCACCGGGCAGGCCGCCGAGAAGGCTCAAACTCCTCTGCGGGGCAAAACTCGCAAGAGCTCAGTGGAGTGGAGGCCTTCGGCTGCGGGGCCATAGGTCAGGAGTTTGAATCCCACACTGGGCTTCCTTGACAGGGGATGGCCTGGACGATCCGGGGGGGAGGGGGGGGTTCGCCTCCAACCCTGCAGTGGCTTATTCTTATTCTTAAATAATGCCAGGCAGTCCATCAACACAATAAAAAGGGTGACTGCTTGGAAGGGACCCCTCGGGACCATCCAGTCTTTTATTCTTATTCTTAAATAATGCCAGGCACAGTCCATCAACACAATAAAAATGGTGACTGCTTGGAAGGGACCACTCGGGACCATCTAGTCCAGCTCCTGCCAAGGAGGCCCGGGGGGATTCAAACTTCCAACCTTGGGCTCTTCAGCCGGTGACCCCCAGCAGCCCGGGGTGGGGGGTGGAGCCGGCATCCCAGCCCCAAAATCCCAAACCTCATCCCAGGCCCCTCTAGCTGGACATCCTGGATTGCGGGTAAAAGAGGAAAAAATCCAGAGAAAAGCTGCCGGTCAGAGTGGGCAATACCAGACTAGGCCCAGCTGGGGGGCCCTCAGCTGTATTTACTGATCCACTCCCATCAGTGTGATGGGATTTGTTGTGCCACAGCGGCCCCTGGGCCCCAACGTCATGTTCGCCTCGAGAGGCAGGCTATCTTTTCAGGAAATCTTCATCAACCGGAGGAGGAGGAGGGCCTCCCAAGCTCTCTTGGGTGTGTGCCTTGGGCAGACCCGGCGCCTGCAAGACGTGGGAGGGATTCCGTGGGGAAGCCGAGAGGAGGCGGTGGGGCGCCTGCCCCTCGGATGGACATACCGCTTCTCAATGGCGTGGAGGAAGTCGTCGAACGACCGGAAGGGGGTGCCGTCCCCCCAAATCCCCAACCGGCTCATGTAGATCATGTTCTTTGGCTCGGAGGCACCTGCCGGGGCAAGAAGACGTGGAGGCTGACCGGACGCGGGAGAAGGTGATCACCGCCCCGTGGGTCTCCGGGTGCCCCCCCTCCACTCCCTTCTCCAAAAAAAAGGGGTTCCATCCCCATCTCCCTTTCTGTCCTCCCTTCAAACCGGCCGATCGATTCCCCCAAATGGGTTGTGGGGTGCTCCCAGCTTTGGGTCCCCCAGATGGCCTTGGGCTATGATTCCCAGAAGCCTTCCCCCACGAGGATGCCTGGCTAGGATTTCTGGGAGTTGTGGTCCAAGAACACCCAGAAGGACCCCTGGATTCAAAAGGGCTTCCTCTCCGGCCGAGCAGCCAGAGGGGACTGTTTGGAGAACGTTGGCCGAGGGGGAACTGAGCCAAAGTGTCTCGCTTCCCAAACGGAGCCAAACCGGAGCCCCTTTGGGACCTCCACTGTCACGAGAAGAGCGCCATGGTCTTTCCGTATTTTTACCGCCAAAGTGGGGGTGAATCGCACAGCAGGAAAAGAGGGCGGCCAAACAGGAGATGGATGGACCTCCATCAAGGAAGCCACTTGCGGGCTTGAGTTTGCATGAGCTGAGCCGAGGGGCCAAGGACAGGGCCTCTTGGAGAGCGCTCGTCCGTAGGATCGCCATACGTTGGAAGCAACTGGATGGTACAGCGCAACAAACCGCGTGGGGCCTGAACTCGGAACCACCGGAACCTTCACCCACTGGGTGCTGCCGGCCGTTTCAAGGATATTTTACTGGGAGGAGAGAGGAGTCGCTCTTGATGAACGTGGCCTCCCTGGGTGCCTCAAAGAGGCCGCGACCGTGCCCGGCGGAGCCCCGGCTGGCCGGCCGGCTGCCCCAGCTTCTCACCTGTGGCGCTGGCGTAGACGACCCGGGAGCCAGGCAGCTTGTTCTGCAGGTCCAGCACGGCTTTCCCCATCTTGGTGGAGTTGGCGTTCTTCGCCTTGTGGCACTCGTCGAACACGATCTGGGCGCAGGCGGGCGTTAAGGAGCCAAGCTTGGAAGAGGGTGGGGAAATCTCAGATTGCCCCCCCGGGGGGGCGGGGGGAAGGAGGCGACGCCGACCTGCCCGAGCCCATCCTGGTTGGGTGGAGACCACGGTTGGTGAGCCATGGTCATCCTCTCCTGGGCTGCAGCACCCAGAACCCTCGGGACAATGTTTCACAGCTACTGGATGAGGATTGTGGGCATTGTAGTAAAAAAAAAATCCGAAATATTTTGGCCAAGACCAGGCATCAAAACAAAATCACTCAAAGAAGTTGGGAGCAAAGTTCACAAAGACCTTTCCTTTAGCTGGGGTCGGGGCTGAGAAAAAACACTTCTAGTTGCAAGAAAATGTTTAAAAATATATCATTCAAATTTCAAACCGGATAAAAAGGCTTGGAAAGGTCTCCTCTCGGCAGGGTTTTCTCCCACCCCCGCTGGCCGCACAGTTTTTATTCTGATTCTTTGGCGGACATAAGACCATTGTTTCCTACAGATCAAGCCCGCCCTCCCCCCGGCAAACTGGAACTAGCCGCTGGAACAACGAGGACTAGGAACGCCTTCTGGCTGAATTAAAAAGGCCAAAGATAAGCAACTTTGAGAGCGGCAGAAAGCCATGTCCGACAGCAAAGTCATTTGAACTTACTTTATGCAAATGGAAGTGACACAAACACAGACACAAAAATAAAAACATGCTTCATGGAAAGGCGTGCACCCCTGCAAACTGATGAATATTTTGCTCACAGTGGGGAAAGCGTAAATTTTGAAGTGAAGAAGCTGGTGGGGGGGGGGGAGAATGGTCCTTAGAGTTGCCCTCGCCCATAAGGAGAGTCCAAAGGGGCAGGCTGTTCAGTCGGTGCAGGGGGGGGGGGAAGAATGGTCCTTAGAGTCGCCCTTGCCCATAAGGAAGAGTCCAAAGGGGCAGGCTGTTCGGTCAGTGCAGAGGCGGGTCTTTTTTAAGGTCAATGCCTCTTCACTGCCCATTTAAGACCAAACCCGCCCTCCAATACTTTCAATAGCTCGCGGATAGCTTGCAAGACTATACTGTTGGGCAAGGGGGGGGGAGGAATCTATTTCTCCCCCTGCCGTTTGTGGGGACCGCTGCCATGCTCAAAGGGAAGGCAGAGAGAGGGGTAGTGGAGGACCTCCCAGCCCTGGCCACTCAAAAGGCAAGCTCGGGGGGGGGGGGGCTGATCTGTTTCTCTCAGGATACCACACCCTCAAAGTCCTCCTTGCACCAATCCAGGATCTGCTTCAGCCGTGTCCGGTGCAGGCCGCCGGCCTGGCTTTCGCCGATCAGGGCGGAGTAAGTGGCAAATAACACGCCTTCTGAGGTAGCTGTGTCTCCGTACTTAATCTGGGTTGAGAAGAAGAGACGAGATCGGTCAGAGCAGACGCACAACTCTTGTGCACGGGGAAGAAAAGACAGAGAGAGAGGAAGTCGCCTGGCGAGGATTTACGATTTTCCTCTGGCTGCTTATGCCACCCCGAGTCAATGCGCTCAGCACCTTTCCATCTCCTGATCCTCTTTTTCTTTTTCTTATTCTTATTCTTATTCCTACTCCTCCTACTCCTACTCCTACTCAGGGCAGCCAGAATTGAACCTGGCATCATCCCTATGTAACAGCCGATGCTCCGATTCCTGATCTATACATTTTCTTTCCAAATGCAGGACCCCAGCTGTTTATGGGGGGGGGCGCTGAGCATTTACAGGCCAACCAAAAGGAGATGAAAAGTGTTCAAAAGCACCCCAAAAATGGGACGCCGTTTTGTGCTGATGACGGAAAGCCCCATCTCGCTTAACAGCTTCTATCTTTCCAGTCCCAAATGTGCGCGCTCGGGATTTCTCCGCCTACATCCTCCCACTTCAGATGGTTTTATTCTAAAAAGTATGCATATGTGTGCGTGTGGGTGGGTGTGCGCGCATGCACGCACACATGGGTGCAGAGCTGAAAGGGAGGAAAAAGAGAACATGCGGTACCTTATTTAAAGCATGGACCGGAATGTAGGGGGCATCAATATCCTTCAGGTCCCTCTCAGCATCGTATTTGAGATCGTTTGAGGCGCTGAACCTAAAAGGAAAGCACGCACAAAAGCTGTGGCCGTATGACCTTAACTATCCTCTATCGCATGAGACTGTCCATCAGCCCAGTACTGACAGGCAGTGGGGTCTAGTGGGTAGAGGGACCGAGTGAACACTCAGGCGACACTACCTCCCCCACAGTGGGTTTTCTTGGCCAAGCAGGGATTTGAATCCTGCTCTCACTGTGTCGCGCTGACTCTCATATATGAGATATATGCAGGGCTTTCAGCACCCAGTTCAAAGGACAGAATTGGGGATTTTTTAAAAATATATACTGGACTACAAATCCAACAATTCCCCATTCGAGATCTACCTGCCGGCAGAGACCTTACACATACCACAATGTGGCTCACCCTGGATTGGAGGCCCAGCTCGGCCTAGCTTCCGATTCAGAAAGAAGGACTCCCAGGTGGCACTGGGGCAAGAAGTGTGGACGCTTGGGCCTTGCTAGGCCTAGCTTGGCCTCAAAGCCTTCCAGCTCAGGCTTGGTCGCCCAGGTGAGCCACACTGAGGTGTCTGTAAGATGTGTGGCAGTCAGTAGAACTGCCACAGTGGAGAATTATGGGATTTGTAGTCCAACAAGTCCACAGAGAGAGAGACAGGCACACACACAAACTCACCACAAAGATTTTTTCCTTCCCTTCAGATAGTTTTCAAAAATGATCCCTGCTACCGTTCGGCCTTTTCCAACTCCAGCGCCGTCGCCGATGAGGAATCCGGCCCTTTGCCCGTTGGGGAGTAAAACTTCATGTTGCTGCATAACCCAGGAGGAAAGGAAAAAAGAGGGGAGGAAGGGTCCGATTAAGGGTCCACACTAAATGCCAATCTTCCATAGGGTGTGGGGTTTGAATCCGAGCCCTCCCCGCAAGAGTGAGCCTGCAAACGACAGAGACGTTGGCCGCCGGGGGAGGGCTTTCGGTGAGATTCCTAGAGATTTTAGGGGGTCCCCCTTTTCTGATCAGGCGTACCTGGCAGGCGTACGTAATGGCTTCCAGCTGTAGTGCGGAGAGCAACCCGTTGTCAGCGACGGACGCAGGGAGAGAGAGGGTGTAGGTGATGTCCGGAGGCGGGACGCTGGAGAGGGTGCTCGTTTCAACCACTCGGTCTGGGTGCTGCTTCCCAAGTTTCACTGGAAGCCGAGACAGAAGAGAAGGCCGTCAGTGGTCGGAAGAAGCCCGAATCTGCGGCAGGGGCTGGAAGGCAGCTTCGAGGACCCCATGGCTCAGCCAGAAAGGCAAACAAGAGGCTCCTGGAGCAGATCGCGCCTGCCCTCTCTTCTGGAGGCAAAAAGGTTGACATGAAGGCTCCAGGCACCTCGTGAGAAGGCAGGACTCGCTGGAAAAGACTGTTGTGCTGGGAAAGGCCGAAGGCAGCAGGAAAAGAGGAAGGCTAAACACGAGAGGGACCAACACACTAAAAAAACCCACAGGCGTGAGTCGGCAAGAGCTGGGCAGGACCTTTTGGAGGCCACTCGCACATGGCCTCGCCGCAAGTCGGGCAACGGGATGGGGCGCAACCCAAGCAAACGCTGGTGCTTTGGGAGCAACAGATTTGAGACCATGCCCTGCAGGGTGAAACTGTGCAACACAGCGGCTGGAAGTGGGGAGGCCTCAAACACCGGCGCCCAGCGAGAGAGCCACCTTCCTGGCCTTTCAAGGTCCTCACGTTCCACCGGGGTCTTGGGCTTCTCGCTGGACCAAAAGGCGTCCAAAGATGGAGACGCCACCGGGATCGGAATGGTTTCCACAGAGCTTCCGCACAGAAGGAGCCAACAAGACCAGGAACCCCCCAGACTGGGCTGAAGGCACGAAGACGGATCGGCTCCTGGCAGCCGGACTCACATTTGGAAGGGACGTAGTCGGCGTAAGTCTCCGCGTGACCGAGCTCTTCCGTCTCGTCGTCTTCCTCCTCCTCTTCTACCTGAGTTTGGGACTGGAAGGGAAAAAAGAAAGACCCCAGACCTCGGTCAGGCCCCGAAGTAGGAGCACCGGCCAAAGGGAGCCTGTGGCGGCCCGCAGAAAGCGCACTTCCATAGGAGAAAGAGCCTCCGGGGTCGCCGGTTCCCCAACTGATCCATCTCGCAGGGCGGTCGTGAAAACCCAGCGAGAAGGAGGGGGGGTTGCTCAAGGGAGGGAAAGCAGGGGCATCCACAGGAACAAGCGCCCCGCCAAATGGACGAGAAGGCAAACCCTTTCCCGGTAAAAACAAAAGAGAAAGCAGAAAAAGAAGAATGGAGAGAGAGAGAGAGAGAGACAGATTGGTGTCGCTCCACCAGCATCAAAGGGGAGAAATCTGCTTTTTTTCCCCTACCTGAATCGTTGCAAGGAGGGGCGTGTGAGTGTCAGGAGCAGCGGCAACGTGGTTATTGATTCCCTGTAAACCCTCCAAGCCTTCCAGATCGGGAGGCAAGAGCTGGAAAGAGATTGTTTGATTGATTGGATTGATTGATTGATTGACTGACTGACTCACACACTGACTGACTCACTGATTGATTCATTCATTTGTTCATTCATTCCATTGATATACAGCACTGCTCTGTAAGTGCAGTGGACCACTCTGGGTGGTTTTGCAATAGAATCAAATACAATAAGCATGAAGTAAGGAGGAAAAGCCACAACGAGGAGGACAGACACGGAAGAAAAATCACAATTTTGGGTCCCAGGGAGGCAAAAGGCTCCTGCTGGATCCAAGCAAAGGTCTCTCCTCAATCCAGCTGCCCAAACGAAATCGAAAGACTCCTCCCAGTGGGAGCCGACTCATCGAATGAATGGGATTTACACTCATTTAATGGCCTCAATTAAATACCTATTCACAAGCAGAGGAGACCCACGGGTGTCTTCAAATTGCCTCCAACGGCTGGCAAACCCCTGAATGACCAACCTCCAAAATGTCCCTCGCTTTCCCCTACCCTCAGAGTCTCATCTTCCAGCACTATCTCTTGTTTCATTTTGCACTGGCCCGGCCATCTAGTCACCTCTGGGAACTCTGTGAATGGGCAACCTTCCGAAACATCCCATCCTCCACAGCCCTGCTCAGCCCTTGTAAACTCTGTCCATCTCATGTTGGGTCTTCCTCTTTTCCTGCTGCCTTCCCCCTTTCCCAGCAGGATGGTCTTTTCCAGGGAACCCTGCCTTCTCACGAGGTGACCAAAGGAAGACAGCTTCAGTTTCAACCTTTTTGCCTCCAGAGAGAGTTCAGGCTTGATTTGATCTTAGACCCACTTGTTCGTCTTTCTGGAAGTCCAGGGTATCTGAAATGCTTCAAATAAATCCATTTTCCCCTGCCAGCTTTCTTTACTGTCCAGCTTTCCCACTGATTTACTGCAGCTGCTGTAAATCCCATACGGAAGTTGTTCTCTTCCAGAGCTGTGATCACTTTCCACTATGGCCACTTTTAGGGAGGACACGAAGAGACGTCTTCTCAAACCACCAGACCATGTTTAGCTGACGGTGATGATTTTAGCTCTTTGCAGGTTTAACGGATCTGCATGCTATTGGTGATCATGTTTGGTTTTACCGGATTTTGATGTTTAGTAGGCTTTTTCTAAAGGGACGTGGTGGCGCCCTTTGAACCGCAGAAGCCTCTGGGCTGCAAGGTCAGAAGACCAGCCATTGTAAGATCGAATCCACATGGTGGAGTGAGCCCCCGTCGCTTGTCCCAGCTCCTGCTAACCTAGCCGTTCAAAAGCATGTAAAAATGCAAGTCAATAAATAGGTGCCACCATGGTGGGAAGGTAAACGGCGTTCCGTGTCTAGTCGCGCTGGCCACATGACCACGGAAGAGTGTCTTCGGACAAACGCTGGCTCTGCGGTTTGGAGACTGGGATGAGCACCCTGGAGTCAGACACGACTGGACTCAACGTTAAGGGGAACCTTTACCTTTACCTATGGCTTTCTCACTATTTTGTGGTAGGGCCTTTTCCAGCTCCACAATTCTCTCTTTCTACAACTGTCAGGGCATACGTTCATTCAAAAGGTGGTGCTGGAGCTTGGCAGAGGGCACGGGCCACCAAAAAAAGACGGACAAGGAGCTGCAAAATCATATTAAGCCTCACCAGAAGCTCAAATGGCTAGATCGAGGTTGTCCTTGATCAGAAGGCCACACGATCTGGAAAAGACCCTCATGCCCAGAAAGGCAGAAGGAAGGGCAGCCGGAAAAGAGGAGGACCCAACACAAGAGGAACCGACTCCCTCCAGGAAACCACGACGTTTGATTTTGCAAGAGTTGAGCAGAGCCGTGGAGGGAGGGAGGTTTTGGAAATCACTCCTTTGTGGGGTCGCCATGAGTCAGAAATCATCTGATAATCCATAACAACAACTACCGCACGGCTGTAAGCGGCTTTGAGGACTACCTAGTATTTGTTTATCTATTCATTTTACCCCGCTTTTCTCCTTGAAAAGGAAGGAACCCAAGGCAGCTTCCACCCTTAAAAAACAATGATTAAAAGGCTAAAAACAGGAAGTACACAAATACTGAAAAAAGAACTAAGCCCATGCCACACTGTAAGTGGGAAACCAAAATCCACACCAAAACCGGATTCAAAGCAACAAGGCGCACAGAAAAGGCCAAACAAATTGTGGCCCTTGCTTATTTTCTTGAAGGACCCCCAGTTTTGCCATTCCCGTCCCCCTTTTTCCCTTTTCCTTCTGCCAACGTAGCCTTTCCCTCTCTGCTTTCTGCCATTGAGTCTTGCTGTGTTTCTTTTGATGGATAAGTGGCGCTCGTATATGAGCTACACAAACACACACACACACACCCCTCACTTCTCCTCCGATGGTGGGGTACGTATGTACAGGCGGCCCCCCTCGGTGCTCACAACTGCCTGTGAATTTCACGGGCTCAGCAGGGACCAGACCCCAGCCGCCCCCTCTCCGGCATCAGAAAGGTTTCGATTTTATCGATTTTAAAGACTTCTCAAATGTTATGTCCTGGTTTCTTTATCTGAGCGGCCCTGGGGCTGCAAGACCTAAAAGTGGGCTCTGGCTAGTTCGGAGACCAAGGGCTATCAAGAGTCACCCCAAATGTGCCATCAAAGCCACGTGGGCCTTTAAAACAAAAAAACCCTGATTCCACGGAACTCTCTTCCCTTCTTGCAGGAGGACAGCAATGAAAATCAGAGGGTTGCCAACCCTGCCGTTGCTCAAGGGGGGTCGGGGAGGGCGGTGGCCGGCGCTGCCAAAGACACGTGTCCCCAAAGCAGAAGTGAAATATGGGAAAACCAACCAGGCACCAGCATGCTGTAATGATTTCCCCTTTTTTTCTTTTCTGAAAGGAAAAAAAAAACCCCACACACATACACACAAAAAAACACACAACCAACCCTCTTTCATTTCCTGGAACTCTGAGTCACGATTACCAGCAGGAAGTTGGACAAGAAAATGAGGGGAGGTTGTCTTTGTTCCTGAGCAAGCAGCTGGAATCCACAGGTACTCAAGGAGTCACGCTACTGCGATCATCACCGGTCCTGGGTCACTGGCAGGAAGACATGAAAAGCCGGGGAGAGCGGGGTGGTGGTGGTGGTTGGGAACGCTTCGGCAAAAAATAATATGGATCGACGCCAGGTGAGCGAGGTTGGCTCGGCAGCTCAAGGAACCGGCGTCGCCGATTTATCAGGCTGGGTGAAGAAGGTTTGAGTCTCCTGAATGCCAGGCGACGACTCGCATTACAGACGTGCAAAGCTAGAAGGGAAACTCGGAGGTCCTCTAGTCTGACCCACCCCACTGCAGGAAATCGACAGTGAGAGAATCTGGGAGGGATGGCCGCCGACCTCAGCTGAAAAATTTCCAGTTAAAAACAGCCCATGATTTGGAGGTCCTTTACTCACGTTCTTACATAGGTCTCCCTCCACACCTTTCATGTACACCTGTCTTCATGGTGTGGATACACCTGCCTGCCTCTCATCCATCCATCCATCCAAATATATTTATCCTGCTTTTCTCCTAATATTTAAAAGCTAAAAACAGGACATGGACATGTACTAAAAAGGATTAAGTACCACACTAAAACACAATAAAAAAGCAACACCAAAAACACACTCCAAGCTGTAAGGCACAACCATCCATTAAAAAAACCCTCTCGGGCAGGCAATCATCACAAGGAAGGCTTGCCTGAAGAGAAAGGTCTTTGGAGAGCCCAGACGGGGCCAGGCGGGCCTCCAGTGGCAGGGCGTTCCAGAGTCTCAAGGAGCAGCCGCCGAGAAGAAAGGACTCCTCTGCCGGGTGCCGACACAAGGGACCTGTGAAGGTGGCGGTACCAAGGGAAAAGGCCTCTCCGGATGAAACGTAATGGCTTGGCAGGCTGATCAAGGGAGACCCTAAGCCAAGCCATTGAGGGCTTTATAGGTTGAAACCGACACTTTGAATGGCGCCTGGCCAGGAACCGGCCGCCCATGGATGTGACAGGGTAATTCGGGGATCCCAGTGACCAGCCCCAGTTTGTCACCCGGCTGCTGCCCTTTTGCAGCCATGGAAGTGTCCAGACACTTTCCAAAGGCACAGAGAGCGTCACAGGAATTCATGACTTTTTGTGAACGAAAACACACTTTTTAAAAAAAAGGTGGAGTAAATATTACAGGAAAAAAAGTTTCTAGCAACAAACAAGAGAGGATTCCTGGAAAAAAACGCAAAATCGGGATACAACAAACTGCAGGAATTGCATGAAAAGCGCGCACACACCAGATATTTAACCCAAACACGGCCAACATGCAGATGGCCAGTGAAACAACACACGCCCAGCATCTCAAATATAAAACTATGACAGCAGTTGTCTGTCTTGTGTTTCAGCAAAAGGATGTGAAACTCTGTTCTGATTGGGGAAAACTGCCAACCTCGAGCAGGATTTTCTGGAAAAGACCATCCTGCTGGGAAAGCAGGGAAAGAGGAAGACACCCCCCCATGCGAGATAGACAGACTCCCTAAAGGAAACCACAACTTTTGAGTTTGCAAGTGTTGGGAAGGGTTGCAGAGGGCAGGGCACCGGGGAGAGCACTTGTCCATGGGGTCTCCCGGAGCCGAGGGTAACTTGACGGGACACAACGACAAACCAAAAGAAGGCAGTTTGCACTGAACAAGACAGAGGAGAGAAATCAGGTGATGTCAGGCAGAGAGATGGAGATGGATCCCACCCTAAGGGCTGACCTCTATTTGGTTCTGCTGCGGCTGCGGCTGCTGCTGCTGCTGGGTGCTGACATCCCAGAGGGTGGGCACGTGGCTGAGGTGGTCGGCCGGCAGGAAGTCCTGAGTGTCGGCGATGTCCGAGAGGGAGTCGGCGGGAGAGGAGAAGAGCGAGTTGCTGGAGAGGTCATTGAGGTATGCCGAATCCTGAGGGGACAAAAGAGGCAGGCGTCACCCACCCTTACGCCAGGGAGGGGCCGAGGCCAGGCTGGGCGTCCCAGCGGGTCACCAGCCACCAACAGCATCCGGCACGGAGGCAAGAACAAACCTCGGCCATCCTATCCCATTGGACTACACCTCCCCTCATCCCCAGCTGGCTTGTTGGACTACACCTCCTATCATCCCCAGCCAGCCAAACCATCCCGTTGGACTACACCTCCCATCATTCCCAGCCGGCCATCCCATCCCTTGTGTCCTCTAGTGGAAAAAACATATTAATTTTTTTTAAAAAATGGGGAGGATTCCAGGAGTACTGGAAATACGACAAAACAGCTCCATGTCATATTGCCTGGGGAGCAAAAGCAGGTTTTGGACACCCCAATTTCCCTCCTCCCGCCCCCCACAGAAATGCCAGCCAATCACGCAAGGGGTGTGTGGGGCTGTTTTGCAGGCTCTTCCCGCCTGATTTGCAGACAGTCTGCAAACCCCTCCACAGGTGCATTCAATCAGCGGGAGGGCTGTGTCAATCCAGCCACTCAGATGGGCCGGCCGGCTTCCCACCTGAATTGCAGTGACACCCCCACCCCACCCCCGGGCTCTCTTCAGCCCTTCCAAAGACAAACTAAGATCCTAGTCCTCATGACTCTGAATAAAAACTCTGATCTAAACAGACAAGGTCAGAATCTACCCCCACCTACCCACATATGTATTGTCGGCTCTGAGTGGTGGTAGCTTTCCAGAATCTGCTCATCAACTCACCCCCTGATTCGGTGGTTTTTGTTTTGTTTTGTTTTGTTTTTTGGTGGCAATATTGGACCTTTGAATCCAGGACCTCCTGCATCTCAACCAGGTGATCCGTCGCTGAGTTAAGAAAGGAAAACATCTGCCAAGGGTTTTCTCTGGAAAGCTGTGCCCGGCCTTAACGCCCCCACAAAAACTGACAAAGGGAAAACAAATCTAGTCCTCCTTCCGTCCCACCCGGGCTGTTTAAGATGCTGCGAATGGATTTGGTCTTGGCACCCAGAGGCACCTCCTATCATCCCCAGCCAGCCAAACCATCCCGTTGGACTACACCTCCCATCATTCCCAGCCGGCCATCCCATCCCTTGTGTCCTCTAGTGGAAAAAACATATTAATTTTTTTTAAAAAATGGGGAGGATTCCAGGAGTACTGGAAATACGACAAAACAGCTCCATGTCATATTGCCTGGGGAGCAAAAGCAGGTTTTGGACACCCCAATTTCCCTCCTCCCGCCCCCCACAGAAATGCCAGCCAATCACGCAAGGGGTGTGTGGGGCTGTTTTGCAGGCTCTTCCCGCCTGATTTGCAGACAGTCTGCAAACCCCTCCACAGGTGCATTCAATCAGCGGGAGGGCTGTGTCAATCCAGCCACTCAGATGGGCCGGCCGGCTTCCCACCTGAATTGCAGTGACACCCCCACCCCACCCCCGGGCTCTCTTCAGCCCTTCCAAAGACAAACTAAGATCCTAGTCCTCATGACTCTGAATAAAAACTCTGATCTAAACAGACAAGGTCAGAATCTACCCCCACCTACCCACATATGTATTGTCGGCTCTGAGTGGTGGTAGCTTTCCAGAATCTGCTCATCAACTCACCCCCTGATTCGGTGGTTTTTGTTTTGTTTTGTTTTGTTTTTTGGTGGCAATATTGGACCTTTGAATCCAGGACCTCCTGCATCTCAACCAGGTGATCCGTCGCTGAGTTAAGAAAGGAAAACATCTGCCAAGGGTTTTCTCTGGAAAGCTGTGCCCGGCCTTAACGCCCCCACAAAAACTGACAAAGGGAAAACAAATCTAGTCCTCCTTCCGTCCCACCCGGGCTGTTTAAGATGCTGCGAATGGATTTGGTCTTGGCACCCAGAGGCTTCGGAGCCAATTTTTCCTCTTTTGGGGAAATCAGCTCCCCTCCCCCCCCCCGTGGTTGCAGACCCTAAAATGAAGCACCTTTATTTCTGTATTTCTGAGAAGCAGCCGTGCTAGCCCGTTTCAGCTGCAACCTAAAGCAAAAAAAAATAATTAAATATTGTGCCCCTTTTAAAACCAACAGTTTCATTCCAGCCGTGAACGCTTCGTCGCAATTTGAAGAAGTGGACTTCCGTCTATGACAAGAACCAGACCAGAGGGCGTCCGTCGTTCCTAAAGGCCTCGCTCTGCTTTCAATCTCAGTTCTCCCTCTTGAATATTTTGCCGCGTTTTTAAAATCCTCCACTGGTCCAGGTCTAATTCAGCCACAGTCTTAACAACAACAAAAAAACGCACTGCGATAAACACCACATGGGGAAATATAAGAAAACAAGGCGAAGCAGGAGTCCCGTAATCAACTCACAAAGGGGTCAAAAAGCATGAGACGACGGATGGTCCGTCTTGAAATCCCGAACAACAGCCTGATAAGGCGGGCCAAGAGTGGGCAGGGAAGGCCCAGAAATGGCGATGCCTCCCCAGCCGCCGCCTGCCTTCGTTGCAGGTGCCTGGGCCTGGAGAACTTTGAAATAAACTGTTCTTATTAATAACCGTAGTTCGTCTTTAGTTTTCACCATTTGGGGGAGGGGGGAAGAGGAAAAAGGGGAAGGAAAAACAAGACATACTCTGCAGCCGAACGAGGGCTCCCAGTTTGGAACCCAGCTGGGAAAAAGCAGAGAATTGAGTCCTAAAATGTTAGATTGGGAGGGGAACCTCAAAAGTCATCCAGTCCAGCCCGCCACCAAGACAGGGCAATCCAAAGCAAAAAGATTCCCCCCACCGGGGGCCCCATGCAGCTTCCGTTTAAAAACTTCCCTCCCAAATGAAAAGAAACACCACACCGGCCAAATTGTTGTGAACAGCCTTATAGCCAGGAAGGTTCAGTCACCGTAAACGCCATTTTTCTCCCCTTCTGGGTCAAGTGGGGAGTGTACAGTCCCATGACCTATCCTTCCTCAGTAAAATACGATGCCCTCCTTGCCTCTTCCCATCAGGACTGCCCTGTGGAACTCCCTGCCACAAGAGGCAGTGGCCACAGGAGCAGCAGCTTCTGGCTCAAGGTGGCTTTAGAGCCGAATCGCACCGTTTCTCAGAGGAGGCAGCAACGCCTGATGGAACGGTCGTCAGCCACGACTCTTACAAGATGGACCAACCACCAAAGGCTGGCTAGCGAGGCTAAGGAGCAAGGAGGCCTGGTTCCATAACTTAGTCCACGGTCAGCCGGGGTCACGGCAAGATACAGCCATGAACAAACCTAGCATGCCAAATTATTTATTTTCGGGGTCACGGCAAGATACAGCCATGAACAACCTCTACTGAGAAGTGCAACTCTAAATAGACCCTCCATGTGCAGGAGCAATCTATCTTAGACTACGGCCGCCCAGAGATGAGGGAGAAGGGCTGATAACTTCACACCCTGTATTAGGCTTCCCAGAAACTGAAGCAGGCCAATGACACACAAAGTTAGCATGCCAAATTATTTATTTTATTTTATTTATACCCTGCCCATCTAGACCAAAGGTCTACTCAAATCCAGCATGACTTCCTTTAGCATGTTTTCAGCAAGGAGAAAGAGGAGGGATTTGCTCACCAGCTGTCACACAACCGTCCTTCTGCGGATCGCATACTCCCCGTTTACTGGCAAACGGGGAACGGAGCGGGTTGCCTCTGGAACGCCTTTTCAAAATCCATCTTAACAATAATGAAATGAGCCACAGCATTTCCGGCTGGGTCCAACCTGGTGGCAACCAGGATTTTGCACCATTCAAACCCCAGACCTGCGTTTTCCTCTTCCCTCCTCTCCCTTTCCTTGGGCACCACATCGTCCTCCCACCCTGACAGGTGACCTGACGGCCAGCCAGTTCATTAAAACCTGATGCTCTCCACGGCCCGAGGCTGATATGGAGTCATTCCGTAAATGCCGCTGGGAAGGATGAACCCCATCGGATCAGAGCGAGGCCTCTGGCTCTCCTAGCCACCTCTGCCCTCCACCTCTGCTTTCACTCTTGCCTGACTCGAGAATGGAAGTCCTTCGGGGCAGAGACCCACCGCCACTGTAAGAAGCACCACGCACGCAGACGCCACTTAGAGAGAGGGCCCGGCGCTGGCAGCGGGCCCCTTTGCTGAGCGTGGTCGTCAAAGAGCACAGCTGGTGGAGGGGGGCAGAGTCAGGAATGGGGGGAGCACACCAAGAGGGGCAGAAATACTAGGGGGGGGGACCGAATCCGAGAGGGTCCAAACCCCTATTCGGCCAGGAAAGCTCATGGACATTGATAAGAACCCAACAGGTGGCTTTTGACAGCTGCTCACCGAATAACTCGGAAGGAGGACGAAGACAGCAGAGCTACCGCGACAAGTCTCCCACATCTGGTCCTCTGGGGTGGACTGCCTCTGAAGAGGGAGGTTCCTCTTTTTGTGACCCATCCTCTTCCACAGAGCACCCTGATCCCTCCCAGGACCGTGGCCAAGTGGGGTTTTGCCACTGATAAGCCCCACAACACCATCGAAACCTTTGCAAATCTAAGCGCTGGGGGAAATCTCGGCACCAAAGCCACGCAAAATCTTTTCAAAACCCAAGCAACACAGACCCAGCTTGGTCTTTAAGGTGCAATTTTTTTTTTTTACAATACGGTGCAGCAGAAAAAGAACTCCAGCCCCATTTAAGAGGACGGGAGCATAAAAGATGTTCTGAACAGTGGCATTTCACACAGGGTGACCTCCGACATTTCCCAACTTCCTGATCGGTCAAGCAGCTAAGACCCAAGAGAACCCCAATGATGTTGCCCTGGCAGCTCAAACTCGAACTCAGAACTGGAAATGGCAGGAGCAGAAAGGGATCCCAGGCTCAGAAAAGAGGAAGGAGGGTTTTGGAAAGAAAGAAAGAAAGAAAACATGCAGAAAAGGTCCAGCACCCCATTTCGCCCCTGACACCCCCCTCCCTGTAACCACGAATCCTGAGACTTTAACACGGCACTCAAAGCGTCTAGAGAAATAGACAATAATATCCTT